TGTCACTTTAATATAATCAGTTAGGTACAAGCCCTATCAACCTTTCTAAATGGTAATGCTTTAGGTAATGTTCTAGTTGGGACTTGATCTATATCTATGTCATTTTTTTTTAAAATACCGTTGATATACAATCATATTGTTTCAAACACAGTGGTTCAACAGTTACCCACATTATTAATTCCTCACACCCTCTAGTGAGGTTACTAACAGTGCAGAAAGATGTTACAGAATCATTAACTATATTCTCCATGCTATACTACTGTCCCCTTGACCAACTTACATTGTGACTGCGAATTATTGTGCCCCTTTATCCTCCTCACACTCCCCCCTCCAAACTTCCCCAACCCCTTCCCCTTGGTAACCACTAGTCACTTCTCAGTGTCTATGAGTCTACTGCTGTTTTGTTCCTCTGTTTTGCTTTGTTTTTGTATTCTACAAATAAGTGAAATCACATGGTATTTGTCTTTCTCTGCCTTGCTTATTTCACTGAGCATAATACCTTCTAGATCCATCCAATGTTCTAAGTCATTTTTATAGCATCCTTAGTACTTAGAGCACTGCCTCTAAACCATATGTTGTTAGATGAATAACTACACAACTTTCTTAATCCCTCTCCAGATTTGCAGTTCTACAGCTAATTTAAAATTGCTACATTAAGACTAAATCCCTTCTATGCAGAAAAGGGCAGCTTTGCCAAATAAAGGGGAATTTTTCTAGAAGCCACAAACAGAAAGCTAAAATAAATGAAATTTATAATTGTAGTATATTTATATGAGAAAAAGTAAAGACACTACTAAATGAAGCAATATTGATTCTTCTTTTTTTCAAAATAACAATTTCTAGACTATGATGGGGTTAATACAGATTCAGGACAATTTTCTACACATTTACATCCAAAATCCTCTACAAATGTAACTGACACACATAATAATGATATCACTGCAAGGTAAGATTAAGTGCCTTATGAATCACCAAAGTATAGTGCAAACAGTACTACCTGCATTATAGGCAAAGATGTATTTACTACATTGCAAAAATTTTGGAGTGCCAGAAAGAAAGGTCTCCTGTTTGCCCCTAAGTATCTTCCCCCTCAGTAAGCTAATGCCTAAAATATTCATCATTACTATTCATGCCTTTCATTTAAGAGTATAAACCAGTGATTCTCAATCTTGGGACATTTTGCCTGCCAAGGGATATTTGGCAATGTCTGCGGACATTTTTGGTGTCATAACCAAGGGGGAAGGAGTTGCTACTAGCATCTAGTGGACCCAAGCCATGGATACTATTAAACACTATACAATGCACAAGACAGCCCCTTACACCAAAGGGTCAGCTGGCCCAAAATGTCAACAGTGCCCAGATTCAGAAACTCTAAACTCTGCTAAAATGCAGAAACATATTGTTTTTAATTTAATGTACACCTTAGCAAGCCCTCCACTTCAGTCCAATTTAATCAAGCCTTTTTTTCCTCTCTACTCCTCTTCCATGCTGCCAAATCCCAATGGTTATTTACTTATCCTCATTTTATACAACTCAGCAGCATTTATTTGACTTAGCTAGCTGGTCACTCCCTCCTTCTTGAAATACTTTTTTCTCTTAACTTCCTTGATACCTCGGTTTCCCAATTTTCTTCCTGCTTTAGTGGGTATACCTTCCCATTCAATTTTGTTAACTGTTCAATGCTGTTCTTAACCTAATATTGCAATGACCCTTTTCTTCCCTTTGTTATCCTTTTTCCCTGAGATGATCTCAGCCAGAATCATGCCTTTAAAGACATCTATATGTTGATAATGCCAAAATGCCTAAATCCAGCCTGGAACCCACCTCCCCAACCGCCACCTCTATGTGTCTTATTTAAGTGACTTGTTAGCCCCACTTGGAAGTCTGCTATCTAAACTTAACATATCCAAAACAGAACCCTTAACTCAGAAATTATTATTATTGTAATCAAAACACATATCAGATAAAATGTTAACAACTGGGTAATCTGTGTTCGACTCTTGCAACTTTTATGTAAATTTGAAATTATTTCTAAATAAAAAATAGAACAAACAAAAATTTATGGTTTCCATCAGTTTATATTCTGTTCTTCACCCTTTCAGTAAATTGTACCATGAATTCCTCATAAAAAATATCCAGTCATCATCATTAATTGACCTCTGTAAAAACATGTCACGTTTAATCCACCAGCAAGTTTAAGATGCTCTACCTGAAAAATACATTCAACATCAGGCCACTTCTCTCCATCTCCACTACAAGCTTCTTAATTTGTCTCCCTGTTGCCACACTTGCCCCAGTATTAGTTTCCCAGGGCTGCTGTGACAAATTACTACAAACTGGGTAGCCTGAAAGAATAGAAATTTATTTCTTCACAGTTCTGGGGTTAAAAGTCTGAAACCAAAGTGACAGCAGGGCCATGAACTCTCTCAAACTTCTACCTCTTCCTAACTTCTGGCGGCAGCTAGCAATCCTTAGTATTCTTTGGCTTGTAGACTCATCACTCCAATCTGTGCCTCAGATTTCACACAGCATTCTCTCTGTAGATCTGTCTGTGTATCCAATGTTCCTCTTCTTATAAAGACACTAGTCATTGGATTAGGGCCTGCTCTAAATTCAATATGACCTCATCTTAACTTGATTGATCTACAAAGACCTATTTCCAAATGAATTCACACTCACAGGTTCTGGGGGTTAGGACTTAAGCATATCTTTTTGGGGAACTCAATTCAGCCCACACCATCCCCTATAATCCACACAGCAGCAATAATGTGAGCTTCACAAATATACATCAGGACATATCACTAACCTACCTACAGGTCTGTGTCCAGATGGCCTCTTCCTGTCTCTCCAACTTCACCTCGTACCACTTTACTTTTAGACTCCATCCACATTGGCCTTTTGGTCCCTCCAACACACCAAGCTCATCCTTGTCTTAGGGCCTCTGACTGGAAATTCATGTTTGGCTTTTTCCTCAACATTTCAAGTCACAGCTCAAGTGTCTACCTCATAGAAATCTATTCTGACCACCTACCTAAACAGCACATCCCAGAGGCATTCTTTTTCACATAATCGTAGTTTCCAAGCAGCGTTTACCACTACCAGAAATTATTTAAGTAACCCACTTACATGAACATAAAACTCTACTGAAGCAGATTCCATCAATACAGCCTCAAAGACTAAACCAGACCAGTAGAAATATTTTTCATTTTTATTTAATCAAATGACTTTGTTCTTTCATAATTTCAGGATTTCCTATCTTACTCACTAACATCATTCCATTATTCCTCTAAATTTTTTTCTATTACATTCTTTGTTGTTGTTATTCATTTAAGTATTTATCCATTTGGAATTAATCTTTGTATACTTGAGAAACATAGATCACCTAAGATGATTTCAATGCATAAAGTCTACAATCTCAAAAATTCTGACCTACTGAGACAAAGCTCAAACTCTTCGGCAGGGCATATGCAACCTTCCCAAACTGACAGCCTCTGTTCCTCCAGAGCCCTGATCTCCTGTTGATTCCTTCTCACCCTGCCCTCTGACTACACCAAAAAGCCCTAATCTAGAAGTATGCTTGAAATGCATTTCCCCACCTGCCTGATGTACTCTCATAAGTCCTTAAAACTTCAGCTCTAATGTCACCTCTCTGGGGAAGCCTTCCTTGTCCAACCCGCGGCCTCCCCGACTCACCGGGTCTCCTTGCTGCCTCTGTTTATCTCCACTTTAACATCCCTTTACTGTACAATCTATGGTACCTGCCTCATAATATACATAAAGTACTTATGAAGTGTAAAGACTGCTCTTCTTGCTTTTTGATTTGGTTCAAATTTGGGACGGGGAGGAGACTGTAGTGGATCTAGCAAGATCATCTAGTTTTCCCCACCACCACAAAGACAATGATGGGCTCTCTATGGCTAACACTGTATATACTATTATATTGGAGAATATATGCAATGTAACTGAAGGAAGAAAACAGAGGCTGACTCACAAGCTCCAAGAAAGGACTAGTGGTTACCAAAGGGGAGTGGTGGGGGAGCGTGGGTGGGGAGGGAGAAGGGGATTGAGAGGTATTATGATTAGTACACATGGTGTGTGGGGGATCATGGGGAAGACAGTGTAGCACAGAGAAGACAAGTAGTGACTCTGTGGCATCTTACTACACTGATGGACAGCGACTGCAGTGGAGGTTGGGGGGGGGGACTCGATAATATGGGTGAATGTAGTAACCACAATGTTTTTCATGTGAAACCTTCGTAAGAGTGTATATCAATAATTCCTTTTAAAAATTGTATTAAAAAAAGATTATATGCAATGGCATTTTTTTTTTAAAGAGGGAGAGGAGAACCCAAAACTTTTTGTCTTATTTTGAATGCAATCAGATATGTTTTTACCTCACATGAGTTTGAAAAATTCACATTCATCTGGCCCTTTGGTGCACCTAAGAAACTTCTCAGCTTCTTTGATAAAACCACCAGCTAACGTACAACACAGGGATGCCTTAAAGGAGCCCCACGTGGGGTAAAATGTAGGGGCTGTGATATCTAGCTGTCCTCCCCAAGAGAGACTCAGTCACGGCTAACTTCGGTGAATCACAGTATTTCTAAGCCGGAGAACGACAGGTTTCCTCAGCTCGAGTATCCCCTCACCCGGGGCTGCAGAGACTGAGAAAACTGTTCTGCCTAGGTCAGAAGCTAAGCACTGAGATGACCACAGCCCACGTCAGAGGAGGCGGAGAGAGGCTACACGCGGGAAAGATGAAGTGTTCCTATTCTATATGAGGAGAAAAAGGAAAAGAAAAGCAGCGAGAAGGCAGGTAAGTCAGGAACAGCACCACTTGTCATTTCTCATCGCTACCTCGAATTTTCTCATCTACAGACCAGCACCCGCCCGGCTCACATTCTCCTCTTCCAGCTCCCGTGCCGGTCAAGCCGCCGCCCCTCCTCTGGGCAGCCGCGCGGGTGGCAGGAGGAAGCGCGGTCGCCGTCTCCCCGACTCACCGGGTCTCCTTGTTGCCGCTTCGCCAGTAAAGCTGGTCCGAGGGCTGCTCTTCGGGCGTCCGCTCCCGGAAGGCGACCACACTCGAGGCCCTGGCCCCCGCTGGGAGACCGCCGACCGGTGCCCCAGCTTCCGTAGGCGGAGAGTCGGCGGTCCCGGATGTTGATATGTCGCTTGCCCCGGAAACAGTGCGGAAGGCCCAAGGGGGCGGAGGCGGTGTTGCCGGGTTCTCCGGAAGGAGACGTGGCGGTGGTTGGTCCCCGAGCGGCCTGGGCGTCTAGTAGTCCCGCCGCCGCCGCCTCCTCCTCCTCCTCCTCCTCTCCTCTGTGGACAGAGGAGGCTGTGGCGGCGGCTGGAGTGCTCGGCGGCGGAGGATGGAGGAAGGAGGCGGTGGCGCGCGGAGTCTGGTCCCGGGCGGGCCAGTGTTACTGGTCCTCTGCGGTCTCTTAGAGGCGTCCGGCGGCGGCCGAGCGCTCCCCCAGCTCAGCGATGACATCCCTTTCCGAGTCAGCTGGCCCGGCACCGAGTTCTCTCTGGTCAGTGCCCTGTAGCCATCTCTTCCTCCTGGCACCAAGGGTTCGGCCCTTTCTCTCCGTATTCTAAGCTTTTTTCTCAGGACCTCTTCTGCAGGCGCTTGCCTCCTTCCCCAGTCAAAATCTTCATTTACCCGGCGTTCATTCATTCATACGAGTGTTTATCTAACACGTTGCGTGGATGCCCTCTTGATGGGGATCCAGTGGCCATTTGCTCTCATTTTAAATGTCTCACTACACTTTATCAACATTCTAATCCTATGGAAGAAGCTTTCTTAGAGCCATATCAGGCGCACCCATTTATCTTTGGAAAATCAACGGCAGTTCTTTCTACACTAGCCGCCTTCTCTCTTGAGTACTACACAGCACCCTACGTACACAACCAGTTGTACTGCAGATAAGAGTTCCCTCTTTCATATTCGTTCTTTCTCTCTTGTACACATAGGCATAGGCATGCTCCCATAACTCTTTTCCCTTCAAAGATGTTTCTGAGAGGAATTTTTGGCCCGTGAAATGTTAACAACTCTCCATACCGAATACCTTTTACTGTTTTGATGTATTATGACTGTTAATTAAAATCCCATAACATGAGATTTCATATTAGGTTTTCTACAGTGACGATCATATTTATAACCTCACAGTAATGAAATTTTTGCAGTCTTGTCTTTGCGTGGTAAACTGCTGAAAAGTCTTACTATCTAGTGTAGACAAATAAAAATTGTGATGTTAAGATACCATAATTACTTCATTTATTTCAGAATGAAATCCTGGAAAATGCAAAAGTTTTTTTTCAATTCCCATTCCAATTACTTGCAGTCATTACGCTTGGGAGACTATATTAGCATATTGTTCTATTACTATTTCATGGAAACATGAGTAAGTGACACTATGATGTCAAAATAAGATTTACCAGGATGTCATCATTGCCACAGCAGATTCCTATTTGCGAAAGTTAGTTTTTGCTAATATTTCACACCTGGCTTGTTTCTCCATTCCTCTGTTTTCAGTTCTTCCATTCTGGTAGTTCACTGGTTCTCAAATTAATTTAAGTAAGTATTTCTCTGGGAAGCCAGGTTAATCTTTCCATTCCACAAAATATTGACTTATTTAAATACTTATATAAAAGTTAAATCAGATATAACTTCAGCAGGCTTGGGGTGAGAATACTTTAGTCCAGCCTTCACCCATTTATCTTTGGAAAATCAACGGCAGTTCTTTCTACACTAGCCGCCTTCTCTCTTGAGTACTACACAGCACCCTACGTACACAACCAGTTGTACTGCAGATAAGAGTTCCCTCTTTCATATTCGTTCTTTCTCTCTTGTACACATAGGCATAGGCATGCTCCCATAACTCTTTTCCCTTCAAAGATGTTTCTGAGAGGAATTTTTGGCCCGTGAAATGTTAACAACTCTCCATACCGAATACCTTTTACTGTTTTGATGTATTATGACTGTTAATTAAAATCCCATAACATGAGATTTCATATTAGGTTTTCTACAGTGACGATCATATTTATAACCTCACAGTAATGAAATTTTTGCAGTCTTGTCTTTGCGTGGTAAACTGCTGAAAAGTCTTACTATCTAGTGTAGACAAATAAAAATTGTGATGTTAAGATACCATAATTACTTCATTTATTTCAGAATGAAATCCTGGAAAATGCAAAAGTTTTTTTTCAATTCCCATTCCAATTACTTGCAGTCATTACGCTTGGGAGACTATATTAGCATATTGTTCTATTACTATTTCATGGAAACATGAGTAAGTGACACTATGATGTCAAAATAAGATTTACCAGGATGTCATCATTGCCACAGCAGATTCCTATTTGCGAAAGTTAGTTTTTGCTAATATTTCACACCTGGCTTGTTTCTCCATTCCTCTGTTTTCAGTTCTTCCATTCTGGTAGTTCACTGGTTCTCAAATTAATTTAAGTAAGTATTTCTCTGGGAAGCCAGGTTAATCTTTCCATTCCACAAAATATTGACTTATTTAAATACTTATATAAAAGTTAAATCAGATATAACTTCAGCAGGCTTGGGGTGAGAATACTTTAGTCCAGCCTTTGTTATTGTTTACAAAAAGCGTAATGAACTTGGCAATTGTTTAAAGAATATGGTCATGATAATTTTTTACTCCTGCACCTGTGCTTTTTTTTAAATTAAAAAAGTGTGCTGTTATACACCCCTGAGAACTAACTGCCCTGTAAGCTAATGTCTGAAACTAGCCTGTTAAGAGGTTACTACCAAATAGTTCAGTTTTCTTTCTGGCACTGGTGTTTGCTGGCTTAAAAGGGGTATGGAAAAAGATCTCAGTGTGTGCTACACTAGCTTTTCACATTATCGATTTAATTTTGAAATTTCGTTTTTAATTACTTTCTTTGGCAATACAACATAATCTAAGACAAGCATATTTGACCAATTGGGGAGAAATTTTTTTTGAGTTTGAGTTATTTTGAGAAAAATCTAGAGACATTATTACGTGAGTTGGTGAAAGGTCTGTGGCCCTCACCCAAAAGTAAGCCCCAAGAGTTATTATTATTGGTCTTACAATTTTTAAAAATACTTTTATAAGCTTTAGGCTTCCCTTCCCTTCTTTATATAATTGAAACTGCAGCCTTTACACCTGGCACTATCATTTTTTTAATGGGCCAGTTGATTGGACATTTGTATATAACTGAGTAGTTGTATGAACTAGAATAAGGACTTTTATCTCTCTGATGTCTGAAATAGGAAGAGAGTGCTTTAGATCTGAATTTTTTTAGCTTTAAAATTGTTCTGTGTTTTAAAGCATCTTCCCACTCAGATATATCAAAACAATACATGATCTTTATAATCTTGCTTTCAAATTTTTTGGGGAGGGGAGAGGTAATGCTGCGGCTTCTCCCAGTTCGAGGCCAGAGCAGGGAGTGGGATCCCAACTTTGAGCTGTCTCAGTGCCATGCAGCAAGTTCCAGCAGTGGGAAAGGTCTTAAAGCCATGTGTAGGCACTCGGGGTCCTCAATAGATTGCCGGTTACTCTACTCTAAATGCTATCGGGAATACTGGTGTCCCAACCCTTTTTCTTTCAGCGCAAAAAAGAAAAAAAGTGTACATTTTTTAATATTTACATTAATGACTGATACTGTTTACTGGTTTTTAGCATTCAATTTTAGGTGTATATTTCCCTTCTGAAATATCTCTGCCATTAAAATGTTCGATTATTCATTACTTCACAGAGTTCATGGATTTCTCCTAAGTAAAACCACAAAAAAAAGTCTAATTTTTTTCCTCTGCTTCTGTTAGTATTCCCACTCAAAAACCTTCCCCAAATATGACACTTAGGAGGAATGGTGACCAACTCCGTGTTTCTAGGCATATTATATATGTTGACAAGTTGTGCCCATGAGTTGATTTTACAGCCTCTCCCAGGATGGTTTTGTCTTGTATCTTCTTTTAAGTCCTCCAGACTCATGTCAAAGTAGGAATTTCTCCCCTGCCAAGATATATTTCATTTCTTAACCTTAAAGAACCATACCCCCTTTGAATAGTTGCATCCTATTAAAATCTGTTTTTTTTATCAAATCACTATTACTTACACTGAAAATATTTTAAGGTGTTAAGTTATATAAAACAAGTTTCTTACATTATCTGTAATTCTGTACATTCAGAATTTATTATATTTCATTTTCTTAAAGTAAGAACTGTTTTTACAAAATCAAAAGGAAGCATTTTAGTAGTAACAAAAAAATTAACTTAAAATCACAAAAGGTTTACTTTTTCCCAATAATTTCTCTTATGAAAAGGTAGGATAAAGTCTGTTAAAAATTTTACTTTGTGATCCCAATAAGTGACTCACTATTTCAGCAGTTTTCATTTAGAAGAATTGCTGCTTGGTCCATTATATTGAAAAGGAAACCAGCCCTTCCTAACTTAATGAAAGACAAGTCATTGCATCTTCAAACAAGAATAGAAATAGCTTTTATTTCTTGTTACCTCTTGCCTAGATTGTAAAAACAATAGACAGAGGAATTAATTTATATATAGACATAAATCCAAAAATAGTTTTTATTACAAAGAAAAAATTGTCTTCCTTTCTTTGCTATGGTTCAAAACAAGCAGTTCCTTTTTCCATTGTTAGCATTGTTGTGAACATTTTAGTAAATAAGTCAATATTGGTATAGAATTCAACTCTGAACATTAGAATGGCAGGTACTTCACAAAGAGGTGAATGCATTTAAGTCATATGCTACTGTCTGCCTCCACTACAGTACAAAAGTGATTTGACAAGACTTCAGGGCATCCATTGCTAAGTGAGTGTGAGTCATGCTTTACACAACTCACTATGACATATTCTGAATATATCTGAAAAACATTAAAAGGCATTATAAATACTATGTCTTACATTTGTCGACACAACTGAATAAAGGTTTCTAAGTAATTTGTCTTTGCAACTCTCACTTTCAAATCTCTTTGATTCTTTCACTTTTTAATGATCTTTTAAACAAGGGTCCTTGGTCATAATCTAGGAATTTATATGGTAGTCTAAAAGAATGTTAACAAAAGATTCAAATATGTTAAACAGGGGCGCACAGAATATACAACCAGTCTGCTTGGGTTCAGCTAGCTCTGTCACCTTGGACAAATTATTTAAACTCTGGGCTTCAGTTTCCTTTCCTGTAAGATGGGTAGAATGCTTGTTTTGAGGATAAATGAGCTAATAAGTAAATGAGCTATATTTAGAGTGGTACTGTCATATAGCTAATAAAGCTAGTATTTCTGCTGTTTTTGTTTTGTTTTTATTGTCTTGGGAAAACATTGCCCTAATTTGCATTTGTGTCTAGATGCCACTGGTGTCAAGTAGTACTGGTTTTATTATAGTTAACAGTTGTGTTTCTGAAGTTGAGAAAAAAACAGAGGTGATTAATAAGATTGGTTCTTTCCTTGCCAGGGAGAGTCAAATAGTACAGTGATTTCTCAGTAATGTAAGGTGAGAAAAGTTAAGAGAGAATTTAATTATCACAGGACACATATCACAGACCATGCAAACCTCTGCCTTAGTAATTAAATACGTATTTGCTATCACAAAGAAGAGAGTTCTCTTTAAATGATAACAGTTATATTAAGTGCAATGTTTGAGTCATGTTAGTTCATATTTGATTTGTCAATTTGTTTGGTTTTATGGAGTATAAATCTTTAAGGATAGTTTTGTTGAAATATACAAGCAGTTGGCAAACAGTCTTTGGGCTGGCCCAGCACTTGTTTTTTTTTGTTTGGTTTGGTTTGGTTTGCTTGTTTTTGTTTTTGTTTTTGTTTTTTTATTAAGGTATCCTTGATATACAATCTTATGCTCAGATTTCACATGAGCAACATTGTGGTTACTACATTCCTCCTATTATCAAGTCCCTACCATATACCCCATTACAGTCACTGTCCATCAGCATAGTAAGCTTCTTGGTGCTGTACTTCCACCCACCACTTGTCTTTTTTTTTTCCCATGGTGATTTTTTTTTTTGGTATCATTAATCTACAATTACATGAGGAACATTGTGTTTACTAGACTCCCCCCATCACCAAGTTGCCCCCACATACCCCATTGCAGTCACTGTTCATCAGCGTAGTAAGATGCTGTAGAATCACTACCTGTCCTCTCCCTGCTGTACAGCCTTCCTCGTGCCTCCCCCAACATTTATGCATGCTAATTGTAATGCCCCCTTTCTCCCCGCCCCCCACATTGTTATCCCTCTCTTCCCACCCATCCTCCCCAGTCCCTTTCCCTTTGGTAATTGTTAGTCCATTCTTGGGTTCTGTGAGTCTGCTGCTGTTTTGCTCCTTTAGTTTTTTCTTTGTTCTTACACTCCACAGGTGAGTGAAATCATTTGATACTTGTCTTTCTCTGCCTGGCTTATTTCACTGAGCATAATACCCGCTAGTTCCATCCATGTTGTTGCAACCACTTGTTCTTATGAACAAAATTTTTCAGAACACAACCATGCCTATTCATTTACATATTGCCTATGCACTTTCTTACTACAGTCGTTGAATAGTTGTGGCAGAGGCATTATGGCCCACAAAGCCTAAAATATTTATTATCTAGCCCTTTAAAGAAATAGTTTGCTGAGCCATGACATATACTAAAAAAGTTAAGTCTGTGTAGAAGATTAATAGTGATTTTTCTTTTAAAGGTGATTTATCCATACATTATCTAAATATGAAAAATAATGTACTATGTTATGTCCCATCCAACCCAATTGAGAGTACATTTGTAAAGTGCTATAGATTCTCACATATAGGTGGTAATCGTTAATAAAAGTAATAAATATTCATCAATGTGTATTCGTGAACATTGACTGTAATGCTTTTTAATCCATGTTTTAACTTCAATCTTTGCATTACTATTTTCTTTATACTCAAAACCTATTTTTTCATTTTTTTCTGTTACAGCAACAGGATAAAATTTGTTATAAAAAAATACGTGGAATCTTTTCCCTGCCTTAGGAAATATGTTCAAAAATCCTCCGTTGAAATAGTAAACTAGTTTGACCCAAGACTGTAAGTTATTCAATGTAACACAATTTATCCAGAGAAAGTAATGTATATTTTTTGTTCTATTTCTAGCCTACAACTGGAGTTTTATATAAAGAAGATAATTATGTCATCATGACAACTACACATAAAGAAAAATATAAATGTATTCTTCCCCTTGTGACAAGTGGGGATGAGGTAAGTCTTTATAAATATACTGATATTCCCTGTCACCAAAGATTTATTTAAGACATTGCAACCACATACTTTAAAATAAAATTAAATGACAGGTTTCTCATTAATCCCGTTTTACCATAAAAATAGTAATCACTTTTATTGTCCCTGAATTCTTTGATTTTACAGTTCAGTTTGAAAAATTAGCAACCAATTATTAAATGTTTTAAATGAAAATCTAACTCCATGCTTTCTTTCTTTTATAGAAATGAGGGTTTTGAAACAAGATAGAACTTTTAGATGTATATGATATTTTTAATAAAAAATTGCTGATAAGTCTGTAGCTACCTTATGCTTTCTCACTACCTTAGCTCATGCCCTTTTTTTCCTCCTAAAATTCCCTAGTTGTCTCTTATCCATCCTTCAAGGCAATGACTTCTTTCAAGATGAAACAGGAGAGGCAGCATGGTAAAAAGGAAAGGACACCAGTCTAGGAGCCAGGAGACTGAGGTATAGGCTATAGTTAGCTGTGGAACCTTGAACAAATTTGAAACTCAATAAATTCCTCCACTCCCTAGATTTATTGAGCTAAGTATGTAATATTTTAATGATCTGTAAAATGAAAATCTTAAACTCTTTCTTAAGTTTGATTCAGATTTAAAATCTGTGAAAGACAGTATGTTTCATTTTGTTTTAAACAAATATAGACAAATATACACACAGGCAATCATACATATATATGGCATTCAAGTCTGAAATGTAAATAAATATAGAAAACTGAGAAGTACCTTAAAACTTTAGAAAATATTCTCTAAGATTCATCTATTCTGAGGCTTTCATAGCTAGAATTTGGATGCAAGCATTTAAAAATTCTGAAATAGGTTTATAAGAACTATTCAGGAAACTGATAATCAAAAAATCTTATTTTAAGAGAAGGAAGACTAGAAGGTCATTCTTTGACTCCATGTTTTATACTTAAATTCATTTGAAAGAAGTGGCATACCATAGGATCTTATTAAAGGTTTTGACTTTTTTTCCCTTTTGTTTCCAAGCATCTGTGACTTGACCAATGAGTTATACCCAACAGCAGAGTTGGGTGAAGTTCTAGAATAATGTAAGTATTAAACTCTAGTTCTTCCATAGGAAGAAGAAAAGGATTATAAAGGCCCTAATCCAAGAGAGCTATTGGAGCCACTATTTAAACAAAGCAGTTGTTCCTACAGAGTATGTATTTTATGTTCACTTGATAACTAGAAAATAAATTTCTGGCAGCCAGTAGACCCTTGAAAATAATTGTTTCTTTTTACTTTATTATGTTGTATCAAATTATAAATTAGTTGTAAGTCTAAGCTACTGCTTAATAGTATTTTCTTCACTTAAATTTCCTGTATATGTAACAAACACCCATTAATACCAATATCAAATATCACTTACCAAACCACTTTGAATGTTTTTCAGATCAAAATTAAGTTTCCTTATATACAATTTTAATAAAAAGTGCTAATTATTATTTTTAGATTATGTAGAAAATAATCCCTAAGCCAGGTGGTTGGTTATTACAGATGCCAGCTGTATTCTAGACCTATTTCCTTCACAGAATTTTCAATATATCTAGTTAGTGAAAACAGTGAATAGGCTTTAGAAATTTCACTAATTTCTAGTTTCATTAATGAAAGCTTACTCTAAATCTTGGGGGAAATTATTCAAATACTTAACATATCAAAAATTAAATCAGTTGAGCCACATAAGACTTTTATATATTTAAATACATACATCTTTCTTAGATTGAGTCTTATTGGACTTACGAAGTGTGTCACGGAAAACACATTCGTCAGTACCATGAAGAGAAAGAAAGTGGTCAGGTATGTTTTTCTTCAAAATATTAACTATGGAACATTATGAAATGAGAACTTTAATAGTGAGGTTAATGGTTTTAAAGTTGTATTCTTTAAAAATTTATTTGCAAAATACTTACAATCTTTTTATTTTATTTTTAAATATAGAAAGTAAATATTCACGAGTACTATCTTGGAAATATGTTGGCTAAGAACCTTCTATCTGAAAAAGGTTGGTTTCTACATAGTGATTTGATAATAATGATGGAATTTGTTTTTATATGTTCAAATTGAAATATAAAAGATCTTGTTGGAGACTATGAATTTTAAAACACTAAATTTCTGAATAATCCCTTAGAAAATGTTTTCAGAGAAATATTTTCATTATTTTGTGCCTCAACAAACATGCTTTTATTCACCTACTAATAAATTATTTTTTAATCTGTGAAGATGCATTTGTTAATATTATATTTATATAATGTTAGTCTTTTGTCTGATTAAAGCAAAGTTGTCGTATCTAGAAATAGACGTAGAGGTATCCTCGAATTGTGAAATATTTTTATTAATCTATAGTATTCAAATTGGTCAACTAATTTATGATTAAACGTCTCACTGAAATAAGAATACTTCAAAAGAAAACTGTTGTGGCCAGTTTTGATTGCCTCAAAGAGAATATTTCCTAGATAAAGGTGTAAAGTTTAAATATGACTTTACTTTCAGACAAAACCAGGGAAACTAGCTAGAAGTAGTAAGATAAAAATTATATGTATGTTTTGACTCTTCTTTAGAGAGAAGTTTAAGATTACAAAGTTGGTTGAAAACTATTTGTATTTTACATATGTTGCTGGTCATTCTTTACATTTACCTTACTCTTATATTATTACACAGAACAAGAGGCAGAAGAAAAGGAAAAATCAAAAGAGGCAAGTGACAAATGTTGATTTTTCACTCTTAATATCTATTGTTAATGAGGCATGAATTCATACAAATTAACTGACAGAACATAGATCTGTGTTCTTAATCAAATACCTCAAAGGATTGAGTCAAAGAAAATTTGCAATATGTTAGCTCTTTCTGAGAAAACATACTATATTTTTATTTACTTTTAAGATCATACAAAAATAAACAGATTTAAAAAGATGTGTCTGGGAGTATCTATAATAGCATTCTAATGTCATCTCTGTGCTTACTTAGCATTGGTTCCCTCCATTTAACATTGGAAACAATTATAATAAGAGCTTTTGCATTTTTTTCTGTTTTTTGGTCTCTGTCTCCTGTGGATAAAACAGATAAACTATATGTGTAAATAACAAGCTACCAAACTGCAAGCATCTCAGAAGCAGGGACTTTTATCTCTTTACCCCTCAGTGCAAAGCCAAGTGCCAACATAATGTAAGCACTTCATAAATGTGTATTAACTATGAATGCATAATTGATGACTGCCAGATAGGTTTGTTTAAAAAGAATGATTCCTTAGGGTACTTAATCACAAATTTTAAATGACTCTGTAGTTCCAAGGAATGTTTTCTGAATCCTAGGCATTTCCGTAGACTTTAATATCTTACTGAGAGGGTATTTCTATAAATGGCTTCGTATCATAATGATACTTTTATTAGAAGTAAAGTAAAATGGCAAAAAGCCTTAAAAGAGATGCCTGTAACTTTAAAGGGTGGCTTTTGGGGGAATTGATAAGTTAAACATAGACACACATAGCATTGCAAGATTTTAATTTTACAGACTACCTTTGAGATAAAATATTTATTTACTGTGGCTCTGGAGGATAGCAAGATGGAATTCAAAGTGTGAATGATAAAGGAAGAGGAAAAAAGGGTAAGGGAGAAAACTAACATTTACTGAGCCCCAATTTATAAGCCCTATAGTGTGCAAGGCATGTAACAAAAGGTAATTCTTAATTCTCCCCACAACCTTAAGAGCCTGTATTATTATTCTGCTTTTACAAGTGACAAAAACTGAAATTTTGTTGAGGTTGTAAAGCTACTAAATTCAAAGCTTAGATTTGAACCCAGGATTTTCTAATTCCATATACCAGCATAAAAATAGCATACAAGAAATCTCAAAATATTTTTCCCTGGAAACATTTATTTATTACCTTTTTTGGATATGGCACTGACAGGGTATGAAAGTGATACAAAATGAGCTCCCTGCCTCCAAAGAGCTTGCTTGGAGATATTATTAATATCTTTCTAAAGCCCTTATGTTAGATTTTTCTTGCATTTATGTAGATAAGAGTGTGGGAGCTAACTCCTTAATAATCCCTGTCTTCTGAGGTAATCTCCTTTATTCTCCCATTCCATGAAAATTTCTTCATTTTTCCTTTGCTGGCCTTGAACAGATTTAGACAGAAGTTTATATACTGAAAAATATGTCTGTTAATAATAGGGAAGAAGAGTAAGCAGATTGATGAACCAGTACAGTATTTTAGATGATAGTGTTTTACTATGTAGCCCCACTTTTTCACAAATCAAACTTCAATCCTCTAGAATCTAAATTCTTACACAGCCATACTCCGAGAGTTTATGAAGAAAGTTCTCCAGCCTGATATAGTTAAGTTCCTGTATTTTATCTTAGTCTCTTTTTTTAGCACTGTTGAAAATCATCCATTTTAATCATGATATTGTAGCCTTTATCTAAATGTACATTTACTTAACATATTCATTTTTGCACCAAATAAAAATTTCCTTTTTTGCTGTATTAAATTAGCTGTGGAGTATGTGTTTTCTCAAATAAGCACCTATGAATCAAAAGAATATTAGAGGGAGAATTACAGAATACAGAAATGTTATCTTTGTGAATTATTAGTTTATAATAAAATGTAGTTTTCTTCCTTTTAGTGTTTTTACTATCCTCAGCCTCGCCTCCATCTCTAATGGAGTCTGTTTTGTACTCTTTTTAAGATTCCCACTAAAAATATCGAAGGTCAGATGACACCCTACTATCCGGTGGGAATGGGAAATGGTACACCTTGTAGTTTGAAACAGAACCGGCCCAGATCAAGTACTGTGATGTACATATGTCATCCTGAATCTAAGCATGAAATTCTTTCAGTAGCTGAAGTTACAACTTGTGAATATGAAGTTGTCATTTTGACACCACTCTTGTGCAGTCATCCCAAATATAGGTAGGATGTGGATTTAATATTTTAAATGTGAACTGCATACTTGCTTTAAAGTGTCATATGCTTAGCTTTTAATGCTTTATTCCACTGAATAGATTCAGAGCCTCTCCTGTGAATGACATATTTTGCCAATCACTGCCAGGATCACCATTTAAACCTCTAACCCTGAGACAGTTGGAACAGCAGGAAGAAATACTAAGAGTCCCTTTTAGGAGAAATAAAGAGGTATGAGAATTATCTAACGGTATTTTCTCAGTGTTTACTTTTCCAAATTTCATTGTATATATCAATATTGTAATGGTTTCTGTAGTAGTAATTGATTTTACCAACTCAAAATTTTAAATTCCAGTTCTTTTCATTGATTTTGAATTTTTCCTATTCTAGTACTTCTCAGAAACCATTTCAGCATTCTCTGACACTCATGATTTCGTATCTTCAGGTTTGACCCCCAGTTCATTGTAGTTCAGTTTAGTTTTTAGCTAGTTACTAGACTTCCTAGCTAAGCCTCCTGAAAAATAGACCACAACCCATCTCCTAACATTTTGTTTATTCTTCAGCTCTTTGCTGTTTGTCATCAACCATCATTCTTCTGAATCTGTTCTTATTAAAGTCAATCAGCACTCTTTTTGTTTTAAATTCACTGAACATCTGCATAACTTGATCTTATTAGCACATAAAAACACAACATTTGAAGCTTGAACTTTTTCTTCTATCTTTATTTCAGGTCATTCTCTCTAGTTCTGTCTGAATCTTTTCTCATGTAGTAGTTCTTTCTCTACTTCCTGTACCTTAAAATGTTGACATTCCCCGTGGTTCTGTACAAGCTGCCTTCTCTTGTTATTGTTTACAGTCTCAAGTGAGCTCATTCAAGCCCATTCTTTCAATGTCCATTTGTATACCCATGAGTTCAAGATACACATCTCCAAAACTGATGTTTCTCCTGTACTCAAACCACAAGCACAATAATTAACGTGTATTGAGTTTCAACAGCTATTATCAAATTCTCACAACAACCTATAAGATACACTATTAACCTGTTAAACAGATCAGGGAATTGAGGTTTAGAGAGGGGAAGGAAGTGACCAGGTGTGAAATAGAGATTAGAATCAAAACAGGCTGTAGAACCTGCCCTCTTAACCACATCTCTGTGCTGCTTCTCCCTTTTGATCAGCTGTCTTCCCTTTTCATCTGGTCTATTGGACATAGCCAGATACACTGACAATAATCTCAAATTCATCATGTTTTTTTCTTACACACTGACCCTTTTCTTGTCTTCCCCATTGCTTTTAAAGCACTGTGCTCTGCCAGCTGCCCAAGTCAGAAACCCTAGTCATTTTCTTACCTATCGTGATTCATCTCTAACTCTAATCATTCACCAAGAGCCATCAGTATTATCTTCTAAAATGCTTCTCTAAGCTGTCCTGTCATTAGTTCAGGATCTCATCATTTCCAAGGATCAGAAACTAGTCTCACACATCCCTTCCTAGTTCTTCCCACACAGCCTTTAAAGTACTTGTTCTGAAATAAACATTTAATTATGCATTTAATCCTTTTGGTGGTTAACTGATCTACACCTCAGGATAAAATCATTGCTCATTCAGTGATTTTTATCAAAGGGATACAAGCCTTTTTGTGACCTGGCATCAGCTCCTGTCACCATTTCCTTTACTCCAGCTATTTTGAATGACTCAGTTTCTTAGAAGCACCCCATTCTTTACAAACTCTTTACCTTTGGATATATCGTGTTCTCACTTCATCCGTGGCCTCCTCCCCTCTGTGCTCTACACCTAATGAACTTCTACTTCTGCTTGAGGATGTTTTTCCAGTGTCATGTCCTTTTCAGATGAGCCAGAACTTCTAATGGATTACCCCAGGAAGATATGTTTCCTCTTCTGTGGGCTTGTATTTTATTCATCCTCCGTTATAGCACTTATATGGCTAAAATTGGTTGCTTTTCCTGTGGTTCTCATATTAAAATCAAGGGAGAATAAACGATGCTTTCATTACTTTGGAGGTTTCCAGTTCCTCACATGATGCCTGGAATGCTGTGGGTACTTGCTGCAAGGTCTGTTTTTCTCCCCTATTTCTTGAGTACTTATTGGAAAAGTATTGCTGGACTGTTTGTGAATGTTATAATGACTGCCATTCTGATACGAAGGAAAAATTATCTTAACATTAATTTGCATTTGTCTTGAAGTGCTGTAATTAAAAGATAAGAGATGGAATTCTTTTCTGATCTTCTTGATAGTGATTTAAATACTGACAGGTACTTAAAAATTAGCTCAATCGAAGTGCTTCACAGATCCCAATTTTAATTACTCTTCAAGCAAGAAGTTCTTCAAGAAGAACTTTAATTAATGTGCTTAATCTGCCAGCTGAGAATAATTATTTTTAAAAAGCTACAAATGATAATACTTTCAGAATACCTAGGATCTTTAGAATACATCTTGTATATGAAAATCTTGGGTAATTCTACAGAATGAGTAGTCACTAAGAGCTGATCATCTTTATTTCAGAATCTTTTTTATAAATGTTGTTTGTTACAAATAACATTTCTTTTAAAAATTGATATTTGGCATATGGTTTGCCTTCTAAGTATGGATCAAGCTGTACCATAAGATAAAGGCTTCTTTTCTTTTTTAAACCAAAGTACAAATACAGCTATCAGAATTTTGGTTAGATGTTCTGTGTTACTATATTACATTAATTTGGAGATTACTGGACTATTAGAGTCCATTTTATGAATTTTCAAGCCCTTCTACAAAAACTATCATCTTGCTTTTATTGCAGTAATTTTCCTTAAAAATGAAAGTGTATGAAAAAATTGAAAGTGTATGTTCTGAAACAAGAAACAATAAATGACCATGCTTCTATTCTTCCTATTTAGCTATAGATTTCACTATGTGATGTTACTGTTTTTCTTCACTAACTTTACTATAATATTCTAGATAATTAGTCTATTAGACCTTAGCTCCATAGGAGCACTGACCATGTCTGCTTCATTTTTAATACTCAGTACTTAAAATAACGCTAGGCACATAGTAGCCTCGGAATGTAGAAACAGTTATACTGAAATTCAAGTTATACTTGAATTTCAAAAAATAAGCCACATCAGCAACCTTTGTTTTAACTTGATATTGGAAAAGAAAGAATAAAGTCATTGATTTCTAGAGCAATCATCCAAAGACTCTTACAAGCTGATATAGAAGGAAAGAAACAGTTGCTCAATAGCAACTCCAGCAGGTAAAAAAGGAGATATCATGCCCACTTTACATTTATTAGGATCCCTTTTGCTATTTAACTTTTTAAGTTATTTTATTCAGTTATAATTGGTGCCTTCAGTTCTTCAGTTCTGGTCTAGATATATTTCCTCTGCACTCACTGTCAGTACCCAGTTAACTACCAGATTCTAACTCATTAATCTCTTTAATAACTCTCCTTTTCTCTCCACCTCACTTCTGTTACTCCCTTACTTGAGATTCTCTCATCTCCGGCCCAGGTTACTGCAGCTCATAACTTGGCTCCCCACCTCCCACTAACTTGGCTCCCCACCTGCAGATGTGTTCTTCTTATTTTTTCTTCTTCTCTTCCACCACTTAAGTAATTACTTAAAAATCTGATCAAGCCATATCTTTGCCTAAAATATGTAAGGTAATGTCCAAACTTCTTAGCCTTAATTCGTTTTCTACCATATAGTATCTGCTTATCTCTTTAGTATCAAATATCATACCATACCCCATATCTTTCCTCTTCTTCCTCAGGTTCACATGCATATGCATACACACAGACACAAAACACATACTCATTCACATAAGTCACATATTATTATTCATGCTTTTAATAATTAATCAAGGGTTTTCTCTTTGTGAAGTCTTCATGTTACAATTCTTCATCAAAGTCTGTTTGAATCACCCCTACTCTATGATTCCGCTGTTGCCTTCACCTTTATTAGTTGGCACCCTCCTTCACAGAACCACAGATTCCTCCAGGGCAATAGCCAGGGCCTGCTACATATGAATAACTAATATTCATGTTTGCTCCCACCCAGCTCATCTTTACCCATAGTAACTACATTTTCCAAAACTAAATGTAGAGACACAAACTCCAACAAGTAGCAAAAAAATAATGTCTTAGTGTATTTCCTTTCAGTGTTTCAGGTTTTTTTTGATACATATATACACACAAACAGTTTTTTAAAATGAGAGCAACCATATATATATATATATATATATTATACAGATTAATACTTGTTTTCACTTAGCAATGTATCATTCCTACATTCCTATGTCATAAAGTAATCTTCTGTAATATTATTTTTTATTTCAAATAATTTATTGTCTAAAGCCCCAAAACTTATTTAAATCATTCATTAGTATGGATATTTTTGTTACCTACAATTTTATGCTAATGTGATGAAATGCCACATGGAACATCATTGGAGCTAAATCACCCATCAGTGTGATTGTTCATTCAGAATAAATTTTTAGAAGTAGGTCAGAGGTAAGCACTTAATTAAGCACAAATAGTACAGGGTTTTAATATACAACTATCAAATTATACTCCACAAGAGCTGTGGAATTTTATAATCCTGTTAGCAATATAAAAAAGAAAAGCAAGTTATAAATGTATTTGTGTATATTTGTACCTGTATTTAATGTGTGTGTAGTATTCCAGTAAGACGGAATACTACTTAGCTTAGGTAATTATATTGAAATAACTCTGACTGCTATAATTTAAAAAAAAAAAGAAGAATGAGACAAAATATATGAAGTGGAAATTATCCCTAGGTTTTCTACTGGCTACCATACCCCTAACTGGTAGACAGAACTAACATTTGTCTGGCGCTTTCTATATACTATTAAGTGTTGCAAAATTCATTCTCTTAAGACACATTAAAAACAAGTGGAAAACTTACCCAAGTTTTCTAGAGTTTAAGAATAGTTTAAGTAATAACAAAAAAATTGTGACACAGAAGCCCTTAAACATGTATGTTTGATTTTTTTTTTTGGTATCATTAATATAAAATTACATGAGCAACATTGTGGTTACTAGATTCCCCCCATTATCCAGTCCCCACCACATACCCCATTACAGTCACTGTCCATCAGCATAATAAGATGCTATAGAATCACTACTTGTCTTCTCTGTGCGATACTGCCTTCCCTGTGCCCCCCGCCCCACTACATTATATGTGTTAATCATAATGCCCCTTTTCCCCCTTATCCCTCCCTTCCCACCCATCTTCCCCAGTCCCTTTCTTTCCCTTTGGTAACTGTTAGTCCATTCTTGGGTTCTGTGATTCTGCTGTTTTGTTCCTTCAGTTTTTCCTTGTTCTTATACTCCACAGATGAGTGAAATCATTTGATACTTGTCTTTCTCCACCTGGCTTATTTCACTGAGCTTAATACCCTCTAGCTCCATCCATGTTGTTGCAAATGGTAGGATTTGTTTTCTTCTTATAGCTGAATAATATTCCATTGTGTATATGTACCACATCTTCTTTATCCATTCATCTACTGATGGACACTTAGGTTGCTTCCATTTCTTGGCTATTGTAAATAGTGCTGCGATAAATATAGGGGTACATATGTCTTTTTGAATCAGGGATCTTGTTTTCTTTGGTTAAATTCCTAGGAGTGGAATTCCTGGGTCAAATGGTATTTCCATTTTGAGTTTTTTGAGGAACCTCCATTCTACTTTCCACAGTGGTTGAACTAATTTACATTCCCACCAGCAGTGCAGGAGGGTTCCCCTTTCACCACATCCTCGCCAACATTTGTTGTTGTCTTTTGGATGTTGGCCATCCTAACTGGTGTGAGGTGATATCTTATTGTGGTTTTAATTTGCATTTCTCTGATAATTAGTGATGTGGAGCATCTTTTCATGTGCCTGTTGGCCATCTGAATTTCTTCTTTCAGAAGTGTCTGTTCAGAACCTCTGCCCATTTTTTAATTGGATTATTTGCTTTTTGTTTGTTGAGGTGCATGAGCTCTTTGTATATTTTGAATGTCAGCCCCTAATCGGATATATCATTTATGAATATATTCTCCCATACTGTAGGATGCCTTTTTGTTCTACTGATGGTGTCCTTTGCTGTACAGAAGCTTTTTAGTGTGATATAGTCCCACTTGTTCATTTTTGCTTTTGTTTCTCTTGCCCGGGGAGATATGTTCATGAAGAAGTTGTTCGTATGTTTAATTTTAGGAAGATCTGCAGTCAACTAAAGAAGAAAGATTTCCAGCAATCCACAAACCCATTGCTGTTGGTTCTCAGCCATTGCTTACTGTTGGAACAACCCACATATCCAAACTGACAGATGACCAACTCATAAAGGAGTTCCTTAGCGGTTCTTACTGTTTTCACGGGGTGAGAAGTGAGCCTTTGATTTAAATATTTATCTTACAGCTTTCACTTGTATCTTATTTAGTCAAAGGGCATTAGCAGTACTGAAAGTAGTTTTTGTCTTTAGAGAAGTGGCAAGATTCTGAAAGCTTCCAGTGAACATTTTCTCTGTGCATCTTACTGTAATCTAATCCATACCATTATGTTCATTTAACCCACAAGCTAAAACTTCACCTTTAATTGGTAGAAAATATATATAACTAAGTCATGTGTGATTCTGGTTGACTGATGGGATATATCAGTGATTGAATAGCCTACATTTTGGTTATGTAGTAATCAAATTTAAGACTTGAATTAACTTCTACAAAGTTAATATTTTGCCCCTAATTGCTCAGAGGGAAATACACTTCCAAGTGGAATTTTACCAATGCAGTTACAGCAGTTATTCTCTGTATTTGTCTATTTTTTATTATCGACTGTTTATTGCTATTATAGTTTTTTTTTAATTATTTATATTTCCATCACTGTTGTGTGGCAATACTGAGACAGATCCACAGTCCCCTTTCTCAGTACATTACTTGATCTGTTTTCTTCCCTGTAGGGTGTTGGTTGGTGGAAATATGAATTCTGCTATGGCAAACATGTACATCAATACCATGAGGTACAGAACAGCATTTATATCTCCTACCACTAGATGGAGTAAAGTTTGGAAAATCTATGGAAATCAGGGGGGTTGGTGTTAACTTCATTATGAGATGATTTTAATATTTAAGTATTTATCAAAGTGTCTCTGAATTCTAGAAAATCAAAAACTTGGTCTTAACTAAATCAGTCATCTTAAAGTAACTATTAACTACTCAGATTCTTATATTACTGTGAGCTTAGAGAAATAAAAGCTATTGTGACTAACCTCATTATCTTTGACTAATAAATTAGTTTTTGTTATAATTCATCTTTAATAAAGTGAATTTTAAGATAGTACATTATCACTAGAGTTAATATATAGGGTAAATACAAGTTTCTCTGCTAAAAGAAGTTACCATATCATCTAAGTTTAAAATAAAATAAGTTTGAGGACTACATACAGTGTCTTTTTATTCTTCCTGTTGTTTGTAATTTCATGAATCAGATAGCCTATTCTTCCAAATTTGAACCAAGCTGCTTAAATTCTGAAGTTTTTTTATTTGTCATAGTTGTACTTTGGTAAGGTAAACTGCTAGACATTGAAGAATAATGTTAATTAATAAGTATTGCCCTGTTTTAAAGGGCTCTTTTTATTCCCCAAAAGAAATAATAATTAGTAATTAGAAAATCATAAATTTGCCCTCTTGAAATGTTTTGAACTGATCTTAAATTCCAAGATGGATCATACCAGAAAAGATCGTCAACTCATACTTGCACATTTAAATCATTCCAAATGTATGAGGCATCTATAAACTAGGACTTTTTGTCTTCACTTAAATCTGAGAAGTTCCATTTCACTATTCTTTCCATTCTTGCTTCTTTGTAGATATTTTATTTTTAATAATATATATTAATACAGGAAAAAAAGTATTATCTAACTGTAGCCCAGATAATACCCAGTGACTTTTTAAAAAAACAGAATAAAAAGTAAAATTCTCTTCCAGCATTGTCCTGTTTCACAAATATAACTGCTGTTAACATTTTCTTAGTTAACCCTGCATAAGGAAAAATATGCATATACATAAATGTTGGTATAACCTTTTTATTTATACAGAAGGGATCTACTGAATGAACTGCTCTGCACTTGTTCTTTTCACTTAATATCTTGGAGATCTGTGTCAGAAATACTGATCTTTCTATTAGAGAAACATGTCTACCTACAATGTATTTAGTAAAACCTCTACTGATGGACCTTTAAGTTGTTTCTAGTTTTCGCTGTGATAGCATCTTAGCATTTTTAAATAATTCTGTTGGTGAACTTTATCAAGTGTATTCATAAGGCACATTTCGAGCAATGTACTTGCTAGGTCAAAGTATATTCATACTGAACAGTTGCCTTCCAAAGGATTGGACGAGTTTATATTCCCATTAACAATGACTGTTTTCCCATACACTTGCCAACAGTTTTTACTAAACTTAGTTTGGCCAAGGTCATCTAACCTAGAGCCATCTGAGGGACTCTGCTAGGAGCTTTGGGAGATAGAAAAACAATAGTATGTAATACATTTCTCACTGTATATCAGGCACTGTTCTAAGTACTTTATACACATTAACTCATTTAATGCTCATAACAACCCTAAAAGGTGAATATTTTTATTCCAAGATGAGGAAACAGAAGCAAAGCTTTAGTAACTTGCCTAAAATCACATAGGTAGTAAATGGTGAATTCAACCCCAGGCAGTCTTGCTCCATATCCAACTTTGTAAGCACTTCACTCTGCAGCTCTAATCCCTATCTATCCAGGAATTTACAGTCTAGTTGCTAAGAGAATGTTTAATGGCTCTCTTTTCCATTAGGCAATAAGCTCCCCTAGTGCAGTGGCCATGCTTGTTTTCTTTGCCACTGTAAGGGTTTTTAATTCTACTAATCAGATGTATATTAGTGCCCAGCATGGTGTCTGGCATAAAATATGAAGGAAAAGAAAATAGGAGAGAAGGGAGGAGAAGAGAAGGAAAAGGAAAGAGAGAGAAAAGAGTATAAAGTCCACATATAAGATAGTTCACATTTTAAAAATAAAAGAATGAAGAAGGGATTTCTGAACAGTCTTGATACAGAAATAAGCATGATGTCAAATGAGTAGTGTGAAGACTAGTATAACTTGAAGGTGTGCCTTTGAAAGAGTAGAAGTAGGTTAAAGTATAGGCTCACTGTGGCTGCAGGCTAATAGAGGCCACATGTTTAACTGAGAATCACAGTAGTATATGGTTCTGTTAACATGAAATTAAACTTGTGTGGGCTGAGACATTGGCAGTGGAAATGTAGAGAAAGAGTCTGAAGGCAAGAACATCTCTAGGAAAAAAATTGACACAATTGATAGATGTAGAAGGGAAAGGAAATAGAAGAATCAAAAATAATTACACCTGGAGGTAGCCTGACTAGGAAATTTTATTTTCAGAGAAACAAGGAGTAAAGAAGATAATGAGCTCAAATTTCTGTTCATAACATTGTCTTGACTAACTTGTAAACATAGATACCCAGTTTGCAGATGAGAATAAGGACTGTCTTATATCTTACATCTTAGCTTATAGGCCATCAGCATAAATGTCTACTTGATGATGTCAGGCATGCATTATCACAAGTATTTTTTCACGTATTAGGATAAGGATAGTGGGAAAACCTCTGTGGTTGTGGGGACATGGAGCCAAGAAGAGCATATTGAATGGGCTAAGAAGAATACTGCTAGAGCCTATCACCTTCAAGACGATGGTACCCAGACAGTCAGGTAAAAATTAACTTTATTTGCCTTTGGATCTGATTAGTAGAATATTTAAACTCAGAATATTGAAAAACAAAATTTAAACACTTAAATAAAATCTCTGGTCAGTTTTTTTTAGGGACATCTTTTAGGTCAATTTTCTTTCCATGGGGAAACAACGTGGTGTAACAGTTAAGAGCACAGTGTCTGAAGCCAGAGGCCTTGGATTCAAGTGCTGGCTCTTCACTTACTACTTGGGCATATTACATAGTCTTCTTAAACCTCAGTTTTCTTGACTAGTAGTATTTGCCACATAGGACTGTTGTGACATTTAAATGAGGTAATTCCTAAAAAACATGGTGCCTGGTCTTACTATGCCTATGGACAGTGACTGTAATGGGGTATGTGAGGGGGACTTGATAATGGGGAGAATCTAGTAACCACAGTGTTGCTCATGTAATTGTATATTAATGATATCAAAATAAAAAACAAACAAACACACAAAAACATAGTGCCTGGAAATAGCATACAATAAAGTTTGGCTTCTTAAAAAACTGTGGTGGTATGGTAATAAGAGTGGTGGTGGTTGTTAGTAACAATGGATCGATTCCAGATATTAGGTCTGAGGATGTTTTAAAGCTTTACTTCTTTCATGTATAATCTTTACCTAGTTTAAGTTACTTAATTCTATTTTTTGTATACTCTAGCATTCCCCTTTGTTACTTAACATTCTGAGGTAATAGTTGAAAATAGTTAAACACTGGTCTTAAGAAAAACTACATCTCTTCTGGGCTATGTAGATGTATCTTGTTATAGCAGAAATAATCTCTTGTTTCCCAGATGTAACTAAGTTTTAGCTTTTCTTGTAGTCTGTTGCCCAGTGAATTTTAAATTATGCATTCATTTTCCTTCTTCGGTATTAACTTTATCCTTCGTAGCACAAATTGTTTTGAGAGACTCTGCTTTCAGAATGGACTTCTTAGGCTTACCAGAATCAAAGTTAACAAAATTAAGAGATAGGCATTTAAATATTAAAGTATATTAAATAGATGGATTTTTCTTATATTCGTATATGTTTCATGTGAAAATATCTCATGATATATACAGCAAATATTAAAGCATAGGTGTGTGAAGCTAGCAAAATTAAAACTTTTCTTTGCATCCTGTTCATTTGAGATTTAGGGGTTAGCCTAGGCTTTACCTTAGAATACCTGCATTACAGTGTTTTAATGGGTGGAGCTGGATAGTGGATGGGAAGAAGGGGAAAATGTTCCACAAAGTAAACAATATACATGGTTGAGGAAATGGTTACCTTTAAAAGAAAAACTTTTAAAAAGCATTTTATCTATTAGTATACAAATAAATAATAAGCAAGTTGAAGATCATTCTTATTAAATCACTGTGAAGTGTCCGAACTTTATATTTTCTTTATAGAATCTGAAAGACTTTCTCTATGTCATAATACTAAAACTGTCTATTTTTAAGCACTATTTTATAGTCACATTTTTATTAACTAATGCAAAACTGATTCTTCTAGCTATCTCACCCTGCCCTTTACATTTATTGAGTCAGTAAAGTTTTATTTTAATAAAGCTTGTGTTTTTTTCTCTGATTAAGGATGGTGTCACATTTTTATGGTAATGGAGATATTTGTGATATAACTGACAAGCCAAGACAGGTGACTGTAAAACTAAAGTAAGTTGGGCCATTAAATTGTGCTTTATGCCATTCTCTTTAATCTGCTTCCCATCAACAAAAGTTTATATAAATGTAAAATATAATAATGAATAATTATACTTATTATAAAAATTCATGAAATTATTTTGTTCTAAAATATCAAAACAATTTTAATATAATTGTTTATATTTTTAATTATTGAATTATATTATTTCAGTTATTTATTAAATTATACAGGGCCACTTACATGAGATTTCTATTACTTAAGAGGAAAACAGTTAAAAATAATTTTGTATGGTTTTGGCAGTGCCTTAAACTACTCTCTGTTTTAGGTGTAAAGAATCAGATTCCCCTCATGCTGTTACTGTATATATGCTAGAGCCTCACTCCTGTCAGTATATCCTTGGGGTAAGTAAAAAAATTATACTTACAGATTCAGTTTGGAGCCATATGTTAATTTTTAGCATGAACTCCAGAAAAAACCTTCAGTAGTCTCCAAAATTTAATACAGCTCCCATACTACCTCTCTAAAAGTTGACATCTTTTTTTTTTGAGGTATAATTTACATAAAACAAAATGCAAAGATTTCAAGTATTGAGTTCAATGAGTTTTGATTATTACATATCCATATATCACCCAAAACAAGGAATCTGTCACTGCAGAAAATTTCCTTTTATACCATTTTCCTGTCAATACTCCTGAACCCCCAAAGATATCCCTTTGATTTCTGACACCATAGATCAGTTTTACCTGTTTTTAATTCCATATGAATAGAATCTTATAGTATATAATTTTTTATGCTTGACCTTTTTGACTCAGCATATTTTTCACACTCAGCCATCTTACTGCATGTGTCAGTACTTCATCCTCTTTTTATTACCGAATAGTATTCTTTTTATAAGTATACCACATTTGCTTATCCATTCTTCTATAGATAGGTATTTGTTCTCCTACCAGTAATACATGAGAGTCCAGGTTGTTCCGCATCCTCACCATTTTATATTGTCAGTCTTTTTATTTCAGCCATTTTAGTGATTTTAATTTGCATTTCACATATGAAAAGTGGTGCTGAACACCTTTTCATGGGATTATTTACTTATATGTCTTCTTATGTGAAGTATCCAGGCAAGTCTTTTTAAAGAAAAAATTATCCTGACATTAAAAGAGTAAAGCAGACTTTATTTAGGACTCTTGCAGTAGGTGTCAAGACAGTCACAATAGGGAAAAGAGAGCCAGCTCAACTCCAAATACAGCAGAGCCAGATGGGGGTATGTAGCCAACAAGCAAATTTGGGGTAGGGGTAGTCAATGGATGGGAAATAATTAAGAGGAGTCATCAATGATACGGGATTCTTGCTAAATTGACTTGACAGGATTATTGCTAAAGGCAGGCTAGAATGATGAGATATTGAAGGTGAGAGAGGAGGAATTTGATCAGATGTGAAGGGTGATTAGATAGTGAGGGTGAGAGAATCTCTCTAACTTGCTTAACAGGATTCTTGCTACAACTGGACTCAGCAGGCCCAAGACAGGGCCCAAGGATGAAAAGAGGCCTAGTTGAAAAGAGGGCTTGGGAGGCTGATTATGTTTTGGTCAAGGAGAGTCTTTGTTAGTCTTCTACCCATTTTTATTGTTGTTTGTCTTCTTATTGGTTTCTAAGAATTCAAATATATCCTGGGTATGTGCTCTTTGTATTTATATTGCAGATTTTTTCCCCAGTTGCTTGCTTGTTCATTTTGTTAATGTGTTTTGATGAACAAAAGTTTTTTGATGAAGTTCATTTTATCAGTTTTTTCCCTTTTATGGCTAATGCTTTTTTGTTCTAAGAAATTCTGCTACTCCAGAGTCACAAAGATACTGCCCTGTGTTTTCTTCTTGAAACTTTATGATTCTTCCTTTGATTATATGATGCCTAAGAGTGGTTTTCTTTGTATTTATCCTGGTTGGAGTTTATTGAGCTTCTTAGATTTGTACATTGATATAATTCATCAGTTTTGGAAAAATTTTGGCCATTATCTCCTCGAAGATTTTTTCTGTCTCTTTTTATTTCTGGGACCTCAATTAAACATGTTAATTTCAAGTTGTTCCCAAATCTCAGATACTTGTTCTTTCATTCTCACTTTTTTTTCCCCTTTCAGTTTGGGTCATTTCTATTGAATTGTCTTCAAGTTCATTGATTCTTTCCTCTTTTGTGTCCCATCCAGCTCTTTGAATGAGTTTATCTCTAAGATACTTACCATTTCTAACATTTCCATTTAGTTATTTTTCTTTTTCTATGCTAAAATTTCCCATCTATTCACATGTTGTCTGCCTTTCCCACTATTCTCTCCATCATATTTATTATAATTATTTTAACACCTGATAATTCAACACCTGACTCATCTGTGGGTTGTTTTTCTTTGCCTTTGTTTTTACTTGTACACTGATAATTTTTACTTAATCTTCTATTTTTTTCTGTTGTTGTATAAGACCTAGCTATATATCCCTCCCTCATTCTTGTCCTTAACTCCTTCCTCTCTCATCTCTTTCACTTAGAAGTAAAAATATTTTCTCTGGTATTTTATATAGATAATTAAAAATTGTTTTCAAACTAGCTCAATTTGTAGAAATAACATTGGATAATTTATACAAAATAAGGACTCAGATACATTTAACAAATTTATATACAATGTAATCATTCAGCAGAATAAAACTGAATAAAAAATGCTTAACAACTTTTTAATTGTTTTATTATTGTTCTTTAGGTTGAATCACCAGTAATCTGTAAAATCTTAGATACAGCAGATGAAAATGGACTTCTTTCTCTCCCCAACTAAAGGACAATAAAGTTCAAGGAAAGAAAAGATCATTGAAAAGTCATGATGGTTTCTGTCTGACCATGTGTCTCGTTATAGAGTTCTCTGCCACTGGATCTCATTTAAAGTATCATATAAAAAGACTTTCAACCACTTTGTGAATATATATGTGTATATAAGAGGTTATTGATAAACTTCTAAGGCAGATGGTTGTCTCACTTTTTATTTTTATTGTATCTTATGAACTGATTGTGTTTTCTTTGCTTGGATAATGTGATTCCAAAATAAATCTCATCCAATCTCGTCCAGCCTAATGAAATGTCGTAACTGCTATACCTGTTGAAAGCTTTTAAATAGACTTCTTATGTAAATTTTAGTATATATAACTAGTTAATGATGTAAAGATTATTAAGAAAGTGATAGATTGTTTAAATAGACCATGTAAAATATGTAAATTCTAGTACCTGAAATCCTTCCAACAAATTTTATTTAGCAACTGCTCTCTACCAGATATTAAACTAGAAATGGGGTACATAGTAGTGCCTCACATATAAGTTTTCTTCACCTCTGTTAATCTCAAGAAACTCTTATCTGTAATAAGTTGCTTCTCTCTCAGAAATTTTATCTATTTCTTTTTCCTTGATATGAATGTGTTTTGCCCCAAACAATGTTCCTGGTGTAGACAGTCAGTGACTCTCTTCATTCATGCCTTAGAATAGTTTATTCTAACAAAACACACTGTGCTGGCCATTCTTGGCACTTGCCTATGTATACTACAGATTTTAGTTCTGGACAGTTTTACAGTGCAGTATTTATTTTAAAGTGAATAAAACATCCACAAGCAGTGTTATCATGTAGTCAATGACAGATTATTCAAATCCTTTATTTTCTGTACTACCCTGCTGCACATGTTATCCTGTTGCATTTTGGACATATATTACTTAAATAGGAACAAAAAGTAGCCATAGGATACCTTATTTTTCCTTCTTTTCAGGAGTTCTGGCCAAAGATATTCTAGTGAGAAAATGTTAATACAGTTAGAGGGCAATTTGTGGATTTTAGTAGGAATAGCACATATAGAAACAGCATGAACTTTGAATTCAAGCATAGATCCAGATACTCTCTTTGACTTACTGTGTGATCCTGAACTTAACCAGTTATCCTCATTGAGCCTCACTTCCTTTTTTGTAGAGAAACGACTTACTTCATAGGTTGATTGTATCTGGGCATTCATTTTACTGTATAGAAAAATCCTAACCCCAGTACTTCACACCAGATTCCCATTAAGTGTTATTTTCCTAACATTACCCTTGTCTCCTAATAACATAATAAGATCAGAGACCAAAGCCATTAAAATTCATTGCTGTAATGAATTATAGAATCATGTTTATTATATCAATGAATTAAGACAGATTTACCCTCACATTTAGATTATAGGTATAGGAGAGAAGGGAGTTAAAATTGTGAAAGGTAGTACCAGAGACACCTTGAAAATAACTCTTTCTCTTATAAGATGAAAACAAATCTAAACTATATTGGAGTAATTTACCACAGAAGATTCTTGAGAATAAATCATAATTACTTCAAAATGAAACATTTAATTAGAAAAAGCAGCTTTCTGTCTTGGCTAACAGCTTCAACTTCTTTGAGGGGAGGGCTAGGCTGGGTGTCTATCTCTTCTAAACTGTGGGTGCCCTATCTATGAAGTCTCATTTGATCACTAAATTGCTGCTACCTCTTCTATGCAACCATTCTATTAAGTAGGCTGAATTCCCAGTAGGCAGAGGAAAGGGCTCAGCTACAATATGCCTAATGTACTTTGAAAAGTCTTTGATCTCAAAGTGGAGTCTATTAAATTGGGTGCTAGCCCAGATCTACTAAATCAGATTTTTTAGGGTAGAGCTTAAGAATCTGCATTTTAAATATGCTTCCTGAGTGATTCTCTCTATTTTAAATAAATTCTTCAGTGATTGAGAATCACGGACTTGAGAACCTCAGCTTTAACAATTTCACATCTGGTAACCCTCCTGATTAGGGTTTCAGGGGAATAACTAGTAGCTCAACTTTACAGGAAGATTGTGACTATGGAGACATTTTTTTTTCCTTTTTTAGCTTTTCCTGCTTTTCTTCGGGACACCACTAGATGAAGCCAGTAGCCTACTTCTAGTTCATCTATCATTATATGCTTGATTAAAGAGACTGGAAACAAATTATCTTAGTTAAACTGAATGGTAAACTTTGTGTACAGTTTCCTTGGTGAACTGACCTTTTTGTCTGATGATATACAAAGGCCTGACCTGATTTCTGACAATGCTTAACCTTCCTAGTACATAATCAGGCCAAATTATTGACCCGGTAGCACCACTTAACATAAAGGGGCTTAAGCTAAACAGGAAAATGACAATCAAGACTTAAATTTTGAGTAAGTAGGATTTGCAATCAATTTCAAATGAAAACAAGATGTTAGCTATCCCAGAATCTGATTTTAAACTCCTCCTAGTGTTAGGTGATTTTATTTACCAGTGCTTACATTTCCATTTGAATGGAGAACAGTCCATATCTATAGATGTTAAATGTTATAAATATGTTGCTATCATGACATGGCTCAAAATAAAATCTATTTCTCCATTTCTTTTTTTCAGTTGTTTGGCATGCAGGGGTGGTATAGAAGCCATGGACCACCATGTAACCTAAGGTCATGCTTTGGTTCATATGCCAGAATTCTCAAAGTAGGTTGTACAAGCAGGCAAGATGATCCAGTGGATTATGGGGAAAAAATATTAGAAATTCCATTATTTTTTCATCTGCAAAAGAGGAATTAAGTATCACTAATTTTAACAGATAGACTAACACTGGTACAGGCAGTCATTGATAAATAAAGTTTCACATAATAAAACATCCTGAGGGCAAGAGTAGGCACTACATGTGTTCAGGAGTTGATGGGGATACCATTGTTATTCACTTTCACCATAATAAAGCATTGCAGATTAAATTAGTGCCACCATCACTTGTTAAAAAATTGTCACTTGAAATATAAGCATCAAGATCACACATTAGAAATACAACCAGTCAAAATTCAGGTTATGTTAACAGGTTACTTTCACCCTATCACTGTGGGTCCTGGTATCTTACAAGGCTTCTCTAGAAGAAATAACCCAGTATACTAGTACTTTTTTAACGGATTAAAAAGAATGAGCATGTTTTTCTCACTGGCAGGAGAAACTACAGTTTGAAGACAACTAGAATTCCACTCTTTAACAAAGAAAATAAAGGCAAACCTGACAGTCTCAAAATGTACAAAATGGAAAGAAGAAAAGCAAAGTTATTAATAAATGGAACATAAGGCTTGTAGTGTGCATCCATATGTATTTGTAAATTTTTACATGTTGGTTTTTATATTTGAAACAAAAAGTATTCACCAAAAGTAAAATCAAAACTTCTGGGAATAATAACTATTTCAACTATCAACATTTATGAGAATGTAAAATAATGATAAACATCTTCAATCCTGTACTACATTATTCGCTTCAGATACATTAAACTGTTTTCCAGTTCCTTTCAACAAAGTTGTGCATTGCCTTGAGTTTAAAGAAAAAATACAGCTTTTTGTATATTTTTCTGAAACAATTTGTATTTTGTAAATATACAATACTAAAAATCAAACTTCCTTGAAAGTCCAGCAACGTGGGGTGTGAAACCCAGTAAGTCAAATCTACTTTCTAAATTTACTCAGTAATACGGCCAAAAATGAACTTTCCTAGGCTCTAATAACTCATGTTCTCAAAATAACTAGTTTGCAAATTAGCCACCAGTGGTCAGTCCTTAATAGCAGTAAAAACTACTTTAAGAATTCTGTCAGAGTTCTAAATGTTATCCCATAGATTAGAAAATGTTAATAGTTGGTCAAGGAAATTTGAAGTTGTTCTCCCTCTGGATTAGTTTTCCATATTTACCTACAGTTACAAATTATCTTTAAGCCATTTTGACAGAAATCATTTGTAGGAAAAGCTTTCATCTCACCCTCCACCAAACAGCCAGTTGTGAACAATCTTTTTGAGTCTTTCATTCCTTGAATTTCAGATGACAGGCTACTCCATTCTGCTTTTATGATAATAAAAATAATGGCCGCCACTTACTGAACATTGATTAAATACTAGGCACCATGACAAACAGTTAAGATACCCTATGATCACAATCTTTCAGGTAGGTGTACTATCTTTAACTCATGGAAAATGAGGCTCAAAGGAGAACTAAACTAAAGGTGGATGGGCCAGCATTTGAGTCAATTCAGATTCTAGAGGGTAAATAATATGCAATAGTTCTATTTGCAGAAACTTCTGCCCCATGAACCATTCCATTATCTTCATCTTGAGAGAACACACTAAAGGCTCAGCAAAATGCCTTGTAAAATAAGGGAAATGACTGATTTTGTCCTGGTAATGTATGACACATTTTTTTCCATGTATTATTTTTATCAAGGAGCACTATTAACTTTTCTTAAGCTAATACAACCCACAACTCTGGCAAATGCAAATTCACTAGTAAGATTAAAGTATTGTTGGGAATTCTGGCTTGGTAAAAGGCCATCAAACCCTTCCCTCTTTGATAATCCTTTTGTGATGGTAGACAATGCAAGCACGGGGCAATTTATCTAGATCCAGATTGTACTTAAGATTTAAATGATAAAAACAATCCCTTTATCTTTTATGTATTGGAATAAAGATCTTTTTGTTGCTCCTTGCATAAAATTGACAGCCAAATATTTGCTGAATAAATAAACTCTCACCTTCTCTTACCCACACCTTACAAAATCTTACCCAGATACTCCAATTTTTTTGGGTTTCTAACCAGTCCCTATTTTTGGGTGTTTGGGTGCTTTGAGAAAATAAGTATTTTCTTCAATTTCACAATGGTTGGGAAAGAAAAAGGAATAGAGCTATTTTTTCCATCTCTATTCCTTTTCACTCAGATTCCACACCAACTAAAAAATATTTTTTGTTGTCTTACTATGCTTTCTCATGATTCCACATGTTGCTTCTCCTCCCTAACAAGAGTACAATGTTTGTGTCTCCTTCTGCTTTATTTACCCCTTTGGGGGCAGTGATTGAAGTAAAGTCTCTGATCTTTAAGAGTAAGAATTAAAATGTCAATCCCAACTCCATGAGCTAAAAACATTCCAGTTTTGAGGTACTCTGAACTCCTCAAAGAATATGTCTGTGATTCTCTGTGCAGAACACAATTCCCAGTTGTATCTGTCCTTAGAGTAGTATTAAGAAAATCAGTTCTTAACAATTTATTTGACATACTTTGTTGCTAAAGCTAAACAAATAAGCAAGCTTTCATATGCCCTTGATAATGTTGGATATTAAATGAATTGAATCTGAAGCATTTACACAGGTTATGAAACCTATCCTAGTGCCATGGCCCCAGAAGACAGGCAGAAAGTCCTCTTTGTGAATTGCTCCACTTTTTAAAGCCCATCTGGCAGCTGAACAAGCTACATTTTGCAAAACATAGGGCTTTGCATAAAAATCAAGATTCCCACACTGGGAGTTGAAAGATCTCCTTGTCAATGTGCTACACGCAGCTGAAGCTTCAGAAATGTGTCTAGAAGGTGAACCTTCACATAAATGCAATTCAGAGAACAAACTGAGTTCACCTTGGCACCACCTAAGAGTATTTATAAAAAACAAACTTATCTGCTTTGTGTAGTAGTGGAAAAATTCACTAATTTCTCTACAAGCAATGAAGTAATAGTTTTGCCTCAGTAAAATTAATCCCAAAGGCATAGGACCTAAAGTGATTCCCTGTTAACTGTCTTCTATGGAAACAAAAATGTCACTAAATCTGCATCCTTATTCAAATTAATGTGTACTTTCAAGTAATTGGTATTCCCCTTCTCAGCTCCTTTAACTCCTTTGTGGTTGCTGAAGAGTTTGCTGTAATCTTCAGTGTCCTCAGGCTACTTGGTGAGTCAAGGAATTCCAGTGAGAATGAGTGCAGGTTGTCTGGCAGCTCCTGGGCAGCCAGGGTGGCCCCTTGGGAAATGATGCCTGCAGAGCAGGTCCTCTGATTAAGTAGTCAAAAACAAGTCTTGTGGTCCCCTAAATCAAGACCCATATTCCTTTTCATTAGAGTCCTGCTGATAATTGTCCTGGCAATACAGAAAGGGATCAAAAAATAAACATTGGGAAATTGTAAGCCAGCCAGGGGGAGATTTGGGTTCATCCATTCAATTATTTACTATTTGATTCATTCATTCAAAAGCTATGCACTGAGGGCCCACCAGGGCCAAAGACTGATAGGTACTAGAGATGTGGTGCCTAACAAAATAGACAGGGTTCTTTGCCCTATTAGAGCTTTATGCTAGTGGGGAGCGAGCCAGTAAATAATTGTATGTAACTGTTATGGACTGAATCATGTCTCCCTCTCCCCCGAGAATTATTTGAAGCTCTAACCCCCAATGGAACTGTATTTGAAAATAAGGCCTTTAAAGAGGTAATTATCATTAAATGACTCATAAGGGTGGAGCCCCAATCAGACAAGACAGAACAGGTATCCTTTAAGAAGAGGCACCAGAGAGCCCTCTCTCACTTTCTCTCTCCCCATGTTTGCACAGAGAAGCAGTGTGAGCACACAATAAGAAGGCAGCCATCTTAAGCCAGGAAAAGAGGCCTAACAAGAAACCAATCTCAATGGCATTTTGATCTTGGAGTAATTGCTTCCAGAATTGTGAGAAAGTAATTTTCTGTTATTTAAGCCACCTAGGCTGTAGTATTTTGTTATGGCAGCCAGAGCAGACTAATACAGTAACAAAATGTTGGATAACAATAAGAACCATGAAGGAAATAAAATATGCAGAGGGATGGCTGGTGGAATAAAGAACTGTGTTGAATATGGCGACTAGGAAAAGCCACTGGAAAGACCACTCCAGGATGGAGTATTTCTAGGGGAATTAATTTCCTGACATGGAACAAAATAGTCAGAAAGCCCATGTAGCCCAAGCTAGGTTGGGTACAAATAAAAGGAAATGGGGACAGAGAGGAAAGCAGGGACTACATTACTAGGGTCATGCAGGCAATGGCAAGGACTTGAGATTTTGTTCTAAGTGGGATAGAAAGCCACCAGAAGCTTTTAAGCAAGAGAGTAACAAATATGATTTACCTTATAAGGGCTACAGTAACCCAGGAAGGGCTAAAGGAGGGAAAAACTAAAATTTGGAAAATGGTTACCAGGCTAGTTTAATACTCCAGGTGACAGATGATGGGGCATAGGCTAGAGGGGATGGGGATGAAAAAGTTCAGAAATAGTTGGATTCAGAGTATATTATTTCAATTCAAGATTTGTCAATAGATTGGTTATGCCATGCAAGAGAAGAGTCAAGGACACCAAAATTGAGCTATACAACTGGGTAATTGCATTGCTGTTACTGAGATGATAAAACAGCAGGAGACACAAGTTTGGAAAGGAGCAGAATTGAATCAAAAGTTCATTTTTGTACATGTTAAAATTTGAGAAGCCTATCACACATCCAAGAGATGTTGAATAGGCAACTGGGTAGACCAGCATGGAGTTCAGCAAGAGGTTAGGACTAGAGATAAAGTTGAGTGTCATTAGCATTTCAATGGTACTGAAAGCCATAAGACTGAATATCAAATCAGCATAATTACTACTAGCACCTGTTTCTCAGTTTATGGATTTCTCTTTAAATCTTTAGGAATGGGGGAATAAGTAGGAAGGTATTTTCCTATCTTTCTGCTCCTCCTTTCCCTTCTCTATCCCCTCAAAGATTACCCCATTTGGCTTCGACTGGTCATTGTCTTCACTCCTGGAAGTAACTCTGGCTCTCTTGTGACTCATCCCTTTGGGGCTGCACACCACAGCACCTTCTGTGGTCACCTGCTGAGGCAGAGTCCTCTCACTGGTGGGGCTGGGCTGCTTTCCCCATGGTTCCAAGCTCTGTCTAGAACTGGCCTCTCTAAGCTTGGATCTCTGATAGAGGTGAGCATTTTTCTTGGCAGCCTCTCTTCTCACCACTCCACAAGCCTGGTATCTTCACTGACTCTTGGCCTTCCTACTCCAACTCCAGTAGGAGAGCAGTGGGGCAAATCTCTTTTAAGGGACCAAAGGCCTCTTGAATGAATGGAAAAGAAAAACAACTGGTTTTAGTGAATAAGGGAAAAAGAGCATGTCTCTGTGGGAGTTAAAAATCACACTGGGGTCTCCTTGTGTACATTGTCACAAAACTCTGAAAGAAGAGGGTGGCCTTGACAGGGGAGACTGTAACCAGCCTTGGATTATGGAAGATTATTTAAGAATGAGCTATAATCACAAATCAGATATGGAGGGAAACTTGAGCCTGTCAGCACACAAGAAGTGCTACTGGTGACCTAGAGATCTTCAAAACTGGAATGGGGAATGGAGTATCTTGAACATGAAAAATGGAACTGATTTACAGATGCTCATTTTCAGGTCCATAAATCTGAGCTCTTTGACAAGATTTCTGTGCCTTACTCTTCAGGACCTCATGCTTTTTTTTTTTTTTTTTTGTCAATGCCCTTTCATTACTATCTCCTTCCCATTGTAGAGAAGAATTCCCTCCTGCAATCTTATGACAGCATTGCTCGTGGATGTAAAGAGCTGCTAACCAAGAAACTACTCAAAATACTAGTCTCAAAGAAGGTACAGAGTGGATTGAAATTCACTATCTATTCCAAACCTCCTTTTAGTTTACATTTTTAGTGTGACTATACTGTCCAGATTCACTGCAAGCTAGGATTTTAAATGCAAATTGGGTTCCACCAACTAAATGCATGGTACAAATTTTTCTTCAACAGTGTTTTGGTGTTCAACCCCTTGCTTTGGAGGTATCAAGAGGGTTAGTTGTGGAGGTAGTGGCAAGAGCTGCAACTTCCTGATCTTTGGATGTTTACTTCAAAAGGGTGTCCTTGACATCAAAAGTTCATAGAGACCTGACTCCCTCCCTTCTTGGTTGCAGCAGAAGTAGTAGCTCTCCTGACTAGTCAGACAGTGTTTATTGTGGAATCTTTCCTGGAGGCCCAACATAGAGTCCTGGCCTTCAAATTATTTAGTAGACATGTAATTTCCTATATTTAATCCTTTTCTGCTTAAATTGATGTTTTCTGACTCTTAAAACCAAACCTTGATAGATAAGCCAAGAATTCTGAAATTCTGTATCTTCATCCAGATTAATCTCATTTTAAAGAAGATTTTGAAATGTTTAGTCAGGACTTTTCCCACTGCGTGAGAAACTTAGTTTAGTAAATAATCTTTGGAGTGAATTATCCTTGGTTCATCTGAGCATATATATAAATATACGCACACTACAAAATGTGGTCAAAGAAGTTATTTAATCTCTTAAGGAAAAGAACTTGTCTCTGAGGTTCAACATATTGCTATCCATCATACAATAATGACTGCTATTCTCTGATGGTTTTTAAGTGATTATACAGGAAACTCATAGTTTGTAATCTGATGTTCAGAAATGTCAGGGTTTTCAATATTTTTATTTTCTAAACATAATTTTAAAATAACATTAAAAACATCAGAAATACAAATCTGGCCTAATGATTAACATTAGAGTAATAATAAAATGTTTGAAATACATCACATACTTTGCATCACAGTAAGGCATCAAGAGAACTAATTAATGTGCCCTGCTAATTAGTAATATTCAACTGAATTCTCACTACTTTTAGTTCTCATTTTAGCCCTTGTGAAAAGTTACATGTATCTGTATCTATATGGATCTATATATGAATCAATCTCCATATAGATACAGATACATATAACTTACTAAAAGGCAAGTTAAATATATCTATATCTCTATGTAGATACAGATATGGAAGAGGACTAAGAATCTAGCCCACTATGCATTTTATGCAAGTTAAATCAGTAATTTCTTGATGAGCATAGAGAGACTGAAAACCTCACATGCACATCCTTAGTTTTCTTTATGCTATAATTTTTACTTCCCAAAGATTGGTTATCTCAAACTCAAAGGTCACAAAGGAAATCTGTCATTGAAAATTTTTTACAAGTAGAAATTACTTACTAAAAAATCTTTTATTGACCCACATTTGAAATGCCTGGCCAAAAAAGAGATTCATACTTTAAAAAGTGTGAAATACCTTCTTGATTAATGTTATTAATTATAAAGCTATTTCATTCTGAATTTACACAAAAATCTAATTCCTAATTTGCCACAATTCTTCCAATGATCTTGGTAGAGGATATTAGATTTCTTAATTCTTTGTTAAAAAGAGGTAATATACTAACCTATCTATGGGAAGTATTAATAAATGAAAACAGTATTGTATTAAAAAATATAAAAGCACAATTGAAATAGGTCACAGTTCAAAAATAGCATTCAATTACAAAAAAATGTGAGGAAGTGGACATTTTCTCCTCCATTATAAAATTTAATAGCAAAAATAAAGGAAGAAATGAGGGAAGGAGGGAAGGAGAAAGTACTTAAAGGGGAATTAAAAAAAAAAAAAAAGCCCTTACACTTAAACCTCAGAAGTAGAAATGACTGGTTGATACTGGAAGGTACGAACTGTTAGATGAGGCTCAGCAGGGTTCTAGCTGAGTATCTATTCTGTTTTCTCCATGACTCTCATGACCTCCGTATTTGGGAGCAGCCTGAGAGAGGGCGCTACAAATTGAATACCTTTCATCCAAAGGAACAAAATGCCCTTTAAACTGCAATAACAGTTCTTGAATATAACAATTTTATAAAGATAGGTTTTATATCTTGATGCTCATCTTGTATCCACCAATCATAGATTCAAAATTATAGCAATTCAAATGCTACCTGTATAATGAAAATATTTTTACATAAAACTGTCAGTTTATAATTGTTGCGCTAGGAATCACAGAATATATAATAAAAGTAGTTTTAGATATAGCAATACTTACTCTACTTTTCCTTATTGTCCATTTCCAGTTTAAATTAATGGAAGAGAAATACAATTAGTTTGAAAATAGATTATCTTAATTTTTCTACCATAGTAATATGTAAACAAATATTTTAAAAAATTCTAAATGGTTACCTGTATACTCTTTGTCAGGTTGTTACTAAACCATCCTCATACAGAAGTAAAGCCTAAATCAAAACATTCCCATTTTCATCCTCTGCCTTCTTAAGCAATAATAAGGATCATCTAACACACAAGCACAGCCTGGATGGCTTCTCACATAACACCTTGACTGAGATGACCACAGTCAGTGCTTACTCTCCCATGAACAGCATACCTCTACCACTACAGACACAGTCCTCTTCACTAGGGTTCTTGAGTAAGATTGTTCTGAAATAAAGTAATTCATTTTTAGCAAGCAAAAACATCTTTCTTTGTAAAAGAACGATATATCTAATCAATTTACACAAAATAATGTCTGTAATAAGAAATGGTAATAATCATAAAACTGTATTACTGGTTGACTGTCTTATGAAAGGAAAGTACCTAGTGCCTAGTGATATTTATAGATAACATATTTCTGATAATCTGCTTTAATAATGTTTATTCAAATAGGCCTGCTACCAAAAACATGTATTGTTTCAATCCTTCAAAGAATCAAAATTTGTAATTCAATTAATGAAAAGAACCCCTCAGTGAAGATACCTTCACATTCTTTAAAGAATACAGCCCCTTTATACTTTGAAGATGTACAACACTGACTCAAATGATCATAATGATCATGATGATATAATAATGATCATAATCAAATGATCATAAGTGTTCATTCTCTAACACAGTAGCATAATTATTCTTGGCATCTATTTAAATGTTTAATACCAGAGATTGGCACACAGGTCAGGGTAAAAATCTAAGTGATAAATTTTTACATCCAATCTTACAATGTCAAGAAACCACAAAATGAATCAATAGATGCTAATACTTCAGATAAAAGAAAATCGTAAGTGCCAACTGTTTAGCTGATTCTTTAAGTTTTGATTACCAATGGTCTTACAAAAGTGAAAAAAAATCAAGATCTATTAGTATTGGAAACAAAAATGTGAACAAAAGATTCTCCAGCCTCCACAATTCTAAACAGAGGGGACTGGAATGTGCTTGGCTGAAGTGCTATCATATTCTTGCACTACATCATTAGTGGTATGATAATGCATGGCAATATATGAATTGGCAAATCCAAAAGAGTTTACTGGCTGTAAGTTATGTGGGAGGCTCTCTTCCCGGGATGGACTGCTGTTATAGATGCTGTAGTACGGTTCAATCCGAGTGTTGATGGGAGTTGAGCTGCTCTGACCACAGTGTTGATATCCAGCAGAGATCCTGGGACTGACCACACTTTCCTTTGAATGACTTGGCCCACAAGCCTGGTCCACAAATTTCTTCTGGGGCTTTGGAGACAACATGTAGACAGAGTTTGTTTCATGATGGGAGGACTTGTTTCTGTTGACTTCGAGGTTCCCTTTTCCAATGGCTCGAAGTCGAGTCTTCTGTTTGCAGCAGAAAAAACCCAGACTTATGTACTGGAGGCACCAGAGCACTTTCCTTCTCAGCCCTGCGCTGTTCCGAGAATATATAAAAGGGTTTAATCCTGACTTGAAAAATATCAGGGTAAATCCAAACAGTTCAAACTGGTAAAGGATGAAGCTCCCACTGCTGGACAGAACCACCTGCACCAAGGAAATCCCCATGGGAAGACAGCACACCAGAACCGACAGCACGATGACCACACAGGTGACCACTGCTTTGGAATCCTTAGCTGTGGAGAGATTGACAGCTGACACCAGCTGCAGCCGGCTGGCTGCAGGGGTTGGTAGCTGCTTGAGACTCTTGGTGTATCCATGGATCTGAACATGCTGCAGTTTGTTGTAATTCTGGTTCCTGTACAGAGCCGGCATGGTACACTGGATGGGGTCTCCACCTCCCTTCACAGGGACTCCCATGAAAGGCTGTGGTCTGGAAGCATCAACTGTGATTACAGAGGGGCACTTTCTGACTTGAACATTTTTTCGCAGGGTCTGAGCAATCATGATATAAGAGACAGATACCACAGCAACACAAAAGGTGAAGTCGACCACATAGAGGGACAGGATGGCTTTCCCTTCTTCAGCAATAAGACTGGACATGGGAAGGCAGAGGCGGGACTTGCTGGTTTTCAGGGTGGCCAAGGTGGCCAGAGTGAAACTGGCGGCCCATAGAAGCAGAGTTAGAAGTAAGGTACAGGGAAAGGAGGCCGTGCGATTAGGCTGCTTCCCCAATACCATGCGGAGCCGGTGCAGGGCAATCACGGCCACTGTCTTGAGGGACATGATGATGAAACCTGAGCTAGTGAGATGGAAGGCGAAGCAGAAAGCATCGGGTATGCTACTGGCTGAGCCGAAAAACAAAACAAAGGTGAACATGGGGGCTGTCACTCCACAGATGAAAAGGTCACAGAAGGACAAGTTCAGGATCATGAAATCAAAGTTGGTTCTGAATTTCCTGAAGGCGGGATCAAAGAAGGACAAGAAGACGATGACGTTGCCATAAGAGCCCAGGCAGAAGATAATGGTGAGTAGAAAAGTACAGGTTACCAAGGTGGCTGTATGGATGAGGTCCTGCAGGTCCTCCTGGAGCGCAGAGCTGTTTTCTCCCCGGGAGTGAGGCACATGCAGCAGGGTGGCGTTGGGCGCACCCTGCAGGCGGTCCGTTGAGTTCATCTTCAGAGAGAAGTGCCTCTTCCTTCTGCGGGGAGTCAGGGCCTCAACTTACAGATGAGCAGTATGTGACAAAAGAGGCCCAAGGCAGAAAAGCCTGCACACAAAAATGCATACCAGAAACAGATAGGATTTAATGTAGAAAGTAGAGTGATTTCATGAACTTTTTTTTAGAAAAGCACCAGAATTTTTCAGCTCTGACCCAGTGCATAGAAAGCATTTCTCCTTTCAAAGACCAACAGAGAGAAGACACAAATATCTCAAAATACATTCACCCAGCTAATTTGAGGTTTTGTGACACAGTAGTTTTCAAACCAGTTTTGGCATCACCTGGAGGGCAGTTTAAAAAAAAAATTATTCCTGGGCCTCACCCCTTGAGATTCTGATCAAAGGGTGTGCAGATATTACTTCTATAAAATGCTCATGCCAGACAATGGAGATGCAAAAACCTAGAGACCACAATTTAGATGGAGGAGATCAACCTAACTATGTAATTACAGTCTAATGTGGTCATGCAGATGATAGCAGGTTGGCACGGAAGTGAGAAGGGGAACCTAATCCAATCCAGGGTGGAAGCTGAAGGGAGTCTTGGAGGAGCTAGGTAGGTAGTGAGGAAGAGTGAAAGGTGAGGGCAGGGGGACAGACAGGTTGGGCGAAAGGGGGCAGCAGGACTTTGCAGCAGAAGGACTGACAGCATGTACTTGAAATATGAGCAGGAGGGTATTGCTGAAGTACACTGGGCCCATTATACAACTCCCACAAATCATTAACAGAGCCTATTTCCTTCCCTAGGGAGAATCCTTATATTCCATTATTTATAATTTCTTCTCCCTGCTTATGATTTCTTGACAAAAATTTTGGAAAAGACTTTGTGTAGGCCACATTTGAGAGGGACAAGTGAAAGTAATGAAGGGTGTCAAAATTATGTTTTGAGATTCACATGGTGCAAAGCACCACTTTGCAAACTCTAAACTGCTATATAAATCTAAGTTATTATTATTCCAACAGTGACATCCTCACAGTGAGACAGGAGACACACACCCATTTATGCATTCATTCACTAAATTTACATTTATTATGTACATACTCTATGCCAGCTCTATGCAAGATACTGTGGGTACAAAGATGAGTAAGACACAGCCTCTACTTTAAAAAAATAACTTCTTTTCTTGCTCCTTTATTTTCTTAACCTTTTTTTTTTCTATTCTGCAGTGAGATTTAAAGTACACTCATACAGATATTCCATTGTTCCAAATCCCAAAGCCCTGTGTGGTCTGGCTCCCAAAGACGCTTCCACTGGGACAGCTTAAGTTGTTCCTTGGAGACTGGTACAATGTTCTTGACAACGAAAAAGCACTTGCTTTAATTCAGCATTTCAGGAGTAACCACTGGCATTGGGCAAGTCCGGGGTGTTGACATTCAGAATATTTAACTACCAGTTCAAATTGGGTCCCAGAAGCCTGTGCCAGGGTTTACACCTTTAGTTGCTGGATCATGGGGTAGAGGAGTGGGCCAAGTCAGTGAGGAACTCATTCCTGGGGGCTCCACAAGCAGCAGCTATGGACCCCTACACTAACCCAATACAGAAGTCTCAGCATTCAATAACAGGTGTGGCTGTGCCAGTATCGGACAGATTTCAGTCCTGGGGCAATCCATATAATGAACTAGTGTTCCTTATGAAAAAAGATAACTTCTTCTAATTCTCAATGATCAAATAGTGCAGATCATGAAAGTATGACAAATTTGTCCACTGTGAAGTGAAGTGAACTTTTCTGTACTTTTCTTATAAAAGTTCTGTGAGAAAGAGACAAATCTAAATCCTGACCTTTGATTTCTTGATTAGCATTTAAAAATAATAATAATGGATAGCTTACTGTTTTCACTTATATCATGTGTCTGTTTCTGAACCCTTTATAATGCCTATGCAGTGGAAAAGACAAGTTTTTACTGTTTGCTTGTTTTTTAATTGGATGTCTGGCTTAACTGATGAAAAGAGAAGTAGAAAAGAAAGCCCACTTTGAGGAGGCAGGAAGAGCAGAGAGATGGTACTATCTTACACACACATGCACACACACACACACACACACACACACACATGCACACACACACACACACACACACACACGCATGCACACACACACACACACACACACACACAGGGTTTCTCTTTGTAAATAGGGAAATGAACAGGGTAAGAGGGAAGCAGGAATTAGAAGGATAAGAGCCTGGAATGAGGATTGTAAGAGAAATATCAAATAAGCTAATGATAATGAAGAAATCCAGTAATGGAAGCTATGAAGACCCCAGGCCAAAGAGATATTTGGAAAGGGAGTTGTCAGGGGAAAATGGGATGATGAGCCACTAACATTAGTCAACAATAAGACACAGGAAGAAGAAAGATTTAGAGAACTTGAGGGGCAATATTGACTTTCTATACAATTATAATTTTTCAGCAAATTAAAATTTTCCAATAGCTTCAAAAAAGAGTTCTAGGTCAGGAGTATAATTTTCAGTAATATCATTAGTCTGTTGACTTTATTAAGAGCTTATGATAGTGTATTTATTGACAGCTTGCTATAGTATAACTTATCTCCATTTTACAGATAAGGAAACTGAGTCAGAGACAGAACATCTAACTTAAAGTGGTAGAGCATGGATTTGAACCTAAGCAGTTACTCTATAAAGCCAGCACTCTCCACCATTAAGCTAAATAGAACAAAGTGATCAAGGGAGGGATCCCCAGGTACATTTATTGGGTGATTATCATGTGCCAGATACTTATACTAGAAGCTTTACTTAAGGTATCAAACTTGTTTCATTCTCAATACAGTATAATCCTACGAAGTAGGTATTACAATCCCTTCCCAACACAAAGTTCCTGAAACCCAAAATTTGAATACACACACATAAACATACTTCAGTGTACCTTCTACACATGGCTGATAATTATGGTTCTGGTATAAAGTAAATATATTACACCTACTGGGATAATTAGGGAAAAAGGAAAGGAATAAGAGACTGCAAAGAGAAAAGGGAAGAAAAACAGAAGATGGAATAAAAGTAAAGGACTTGGCAGAGAAATTTCAGGAACAATAAAGGAAATGGAAGGAAAGTAAACCCAGGTCTTAGTACTAATTTCTGGGACTTTAAAAAAGAGGGGGTGGAGACTACAATTTGGAACAAAATTATGATGGCAGAACTACAAAACTCAGTGATTTGGGGAGAGGGTTAATGAATACCTATTGCGACTCCTAAATAGTTAATTAAGGTTACCAACCTTCTTTTCAAAACAAGCATACAAGACACTTTTTATTTTTGGGACCATCAATAGGTTCTTGAAGAAGATGAGACTAAAGCCATAAAATCAAGTTGGAACACCAATTTTGGGCAGGCATATTAGCACAATAAGATGGAATGAATTCCTATCACATGCATCGTTACAAGTGAGGAGGGATCCTAAAGTAACTAGTAAGCAAAAAATAGATAAAAATTTATTGTACAGTGTCAATGATTTCTCATTAGTATGTGTGACAAGCGTCTGATAATGTAGTGTGCTGCCTTAATGTTTTAGTACATATTAAATAAAACATTTTATATGAGCTTTCACAAATCAACTCATGACCTGGATTCTTCTAACTCATTTTTTCTCATAATGTCTTAAATGTCTCGAGGACAGTCAATTTCTCATGATGCCTTAATTTTGACAGAGAGCAAGGTTCTGTATTATTATTCCTACTGTATTTGTATTGCTCAGAACGTCAGGGAAGTTACATGACTTGCCCAAGGTCACTAAGATTCAGGCCAGATTTATCTGACTGCAGAGCCCATGCTCTTTCTCCCCAGGTGAACCACCCCTTGATGCTGGGAGCAGCTGACGGTGGGGTAGGGTCAGTGTGTGAGAGGCAGGGGCCGTGGGGCGCCCGCATCTGGGGATGGAGTGTTGGACTCGGGGAAAGACGGTCGACCGGCAGGGCGCTGGCAACGGGCAGGAGCTCCCCGGGGTGGCGAAGGTTCTGTGAACGGCCTAGGTCGAGCCTGGGACGCTTGTCAAAGATCCGGCAGAGGGTTGGTGGGGTGAGGAGGGCTCAGCCAGGGCAAGTCCGGCGGGGGGAGGGTTCCACGACCGGGCAGATGGCCTCCCCGCAGGCCGCGCCGTAAGCGCAGGTGCGCTGCAACCGGGCCTGAACCGGCGCAGCCGTGCTCCTCGCGAAGCCGCCGCCTCACGAGCCCGGCCACCCCGTTCCCGCGGTGCCGCCCTCCTCCAGGGCCTGCGGCCTCTCACCTGCCTGGTGGCCACAGCACCGCCCCCTCCTCCACCTCGCAGCCGAGACCCAGCTCCGTCCGCCGCCCGGGGCGACGCAGGGTTGGACGCACCATCGCCAGCGCCTTCGCCGCCTCCGCGCATCCCGGGAGCCGCGGCCAGCCGGGGGCGCGGAGGCGCAGTCACGGAGACGCGGAGGGCGCCGCCTCCTGCGCCGGACACTCGGGGCTCGGCGCCCCGCCTGCCTCGCGCCGTCGCCGCCTCGCGGGCCTCCTCGTGCCCTGGCGCGCGGCCGCTCCCGCCGCCCGACCTGCGTCAGGCTCGCGGCGCCGAAGTCTGGGCTCCCTGAGGTAGGCAAGAGCCGGCCTATGGAGTTAGGGGGGGCAAGCGGCTGGGTGGAAAGGAGGTCAGGCGGGGGCACCGGAGGCGGAGACCGCGGGATGGGGGGGCGCAGCTCCACCGGGACCTCTCCGCGGGGGCTTCCCGCCGGCGCGCGCCCACCTGCCCACCTCCCCACCCCCGCGCCTTCGCGCCGGCCTGCCCAGCGCCCCTCCAGGCTGCATACTTTCTCCTAGATAAATTGCAGTCATGGTCCAGTTTGGTGGTTTGAGACATAGAATCTGTGTATCAAGTAATTTTAACAGAATTTAAATCAAACTGACTTTAACTTAATGTACAATAGAAGAACCACATTTTTTTTTCTTTTCTCAGTTCTCTGAAAATATTATTGGACTTACTGAGGAAACTCGGCAAGGGGAGTAACTACTAGGAAACAAATGCAAAGTAAAAGGAACTACCCAGGCAAGTAAAATAACCAAGCCAAGAAATCATGGACATTATTTAGTGCTATGTTAAATGTAAAAAAAAATCTTGAAAAGCAGTGATGCTATGTATGCTGCTAGGCTAATTTTAGTAACCAATAACACAAAACAAAAAACTATCACCCTCATTCTTAAGTCCACAACAGAAATAATGAACGCATAAAACGGCTTTAATTTTAGTCTCAGAGCCATCAAGTAATTTTACCAGTTTAAACTTTACAAGTTTAAATAGCAAACTTACCTGTTTGCTATTCGGGGTACAAAATAAGGCCAGTTAAACTCTCACTCCTTTATTGTAGGAACCTGGGTAGGTTGGATCTTAACTACTTTCCTTACTTTCTCGGGGTACTTATTTAAATATAATTCCGGAAGGGTATTTGAATGCCCTTTCCATCACCCTATCACACACACACACACACACAGGGTTTCTCTTTGTAAATAGGGAAATGAACAGGGTAAGAGGGAAGCAGGAATTAGAAGGATAAGAGCCTGGAATGAGGATTGTAAGAGAAATATCAAATAAGCTAATGATAATGAAGAAATCCAGTAATGGAAGCTATGAAGACCCCAGGCCAAAGAGATATTTGGAAAGGGAGTTGTCAGGGGAAAATGGGATGATGAGCCACTAACATTAGTCAACAATAAGACACAGGAAGAAGAAAGATTTAGAGAACTTGAGGGGCAATATTGACTTTCTATACAATTATAATTTTTCAGCAAATTAAAATTTTCCAATAGCTTCAAAAAAGAGTTCTAGGTCAGGAGTATAATTTTCAGTAATATCATTAGTCTGTTGACTTTATTAAGAGCTTATGATAGTGTATTTATTGACAGCTTGCTATAGTATAACTTATCTCCATTTTACAGATAAGGAAACTGAGTCAGAGACAGAACATCTAACTTAAAGTGGTAGAGCATGGATTTGAACCTAAGCAGTTACTCTATAAAGCCAGCACTCTCCACCATTAAGCTAAATAGAACAAAGTGATCAAGGGAGGGATCCCCAGGTACATTTATTGGGTGATTATCATGTGCCAGATACTTATACTAGAAGCTTTACTTAAGGTATCAAACTTGTTTCATTCTCAATACAGTATAATCCTACGAAGTAGGTATTACAATCCCTTCCCAACACAAAGTTCCTGAAACCCAAAATTTGAATACACACACATAAACATACTTCAGTGTACCTTCTACACATGGCTGATAATTATGGTTCTGGTATAAAGTAAATATATTACACCTACTGGGATAATTAGGGAAAAAGGAAAGGAATAAGAGACTGCAAAGAGAAAAGGGAAGAAAAACAGAAGATGGAATAAAAGTAAAGGACTTGGCAGAGAAATTTCAGGAACAATAAAGGAAATGGAAGGAAAGTAAACCCAGGTCTTAGTACTAATTTCTGGGACTTTAAAAAAGAGGGGGTGGAGACTACAATTTGGAACAAAATTATGATGGCAGAACTACAAAACTCAGTGATTTGGGGAGAGGGTTAATGAATACCTATTGCGACTCCTAAATAGTTAATTAAGGTTACCAACCTTCTTTTCAAAACAAGCATACAAGACACTTTTTATTTTTGGGACCATCAATAGGTTCTTGAAGAAGATGAGACTAAAGCCATAAAATCAAGTTGGAACACCAATTTTGGGCAGGCATATTAGCACAATAAGATGGAATGAATTCCTATCACATGCATCGTTACAAGTGAGGAGGGATCCTAAAGTAACTAGTAAGCAAAAAATAGATAAAAATTTATTGTACAGTGTCAATGATTTCTCATTAGTATGTGTGACAAGCGTCTGATAATGTAGTGTGCTGCCTTAATGTTTTAGTACATATTAAATAAAACATTTTATATGAGCTTTCACAAATCAACTCATGACCTGGATTCTTCTAACTCATTTTTTCTCATAATGTCTTAAATGTCTCGAGGACAGTCAATTTCTCATGATGCCTTAATTTTGACAGAGAGCAAGGTTCTGTATTATTATTCCTACTGTATTTGTATTGCTCAGAACGTCAGGGAAGTTACATGACTTGCCCAAGGTCACTAAGATTCAGGCCAGATTTATCTGACTGCAGAGCCCATGCTCTTTCTCCCCAGGTGAACCACCCCTTGATGCTGGGAGCAGCTGACGGTGGGGTAGGGTCAGTGTGTGAGAGGCAGGGGCCGTGGGGCGCCCGCATCTGGGGATGGAGTGTTGGACTCGGGGAAAGACGGTCGACCGGCAGGGCGCTGGCAACGGGCAGGAGCTCCCCGGGGTGGCGAAGGTTCTGTGAACGGCCTAGGTCGAGCCTGGGACGCTTGTCAAAGATCCGGCAGAGGGTTGGTGGGGTGAGGAGGGCTCAGCCAGGGCAAGTCCGGCGGGGGGAGGGTTCCACGACCGGGCAGATGGCCTCCCCGCAGGCCGCGCCGTAAGCGCAGGTGCGCTGCAACCGGGCCTGAACCGGCGCAGCCGTGCTCCTCGCGAAGCCGCCGCCTCACGAGCCCGGCCACCCCGTTCCCGCGGTGCCGCCCTCCTCCAGGGCCTGCGGCCTCTCACCTGCCTGGTGGCCACAGCACCGCCCCCTCCTCCACCTCGCAGCCGAGACCCAGCTCCGTCCGCCGCCCGGGGCGACGCAGGGTTGGACGCACCATCGCCAGCGCCTTCGCCGCCTCCGCGCATCCCGGGAGCCGCGGCCAGCCGGGGGCGCGGAGGCGCAGTCACGGAGACGCGGAGGGCGCCGCCTCCTGCGCCGGACACTCGGGGCTCGGCGCCCCGCCTGCCTCGCGCCGTCGCCGCCTCGCGGGCCTCCTCGTGCCCTGGCGCGCGGCCGCTCCCGCCGCCCGACCTGCGTCAGGCTCGCGGCGCCGAAGTCTGGGCTCCCTGAGGTAGGCAAGAGCCGGCCTATGGAGTTAGGGGGGGCAAGCGGCTGGGTGGAAAGGAGGTCAGGCGGGGGCACCGGAGGCGGAGACCGCGGGATGGGGGGGCGCAGCTCCACCGGGACCTCTCCGCGGGGGCTTCCCGCCGGCGCGCGCCCACCTGCCCACCTCCCCACCCCCGCGCCTTCGCGCCGGCCTGCCCAGCGCCCCTCCAGGCTGCATACTTTCTCCTAGATAAATTGCAGTCATGGTCCAGTTTGGTGGTTTGAGACATAGAATCTGTGTATCAAGTAATTTTAACAGAATTTAAATCAAACTGACTTTAACTTAATGTACAATAGAAGAACCACATTTTTTTTTCTTTTCTCAGTTCTCTGAAAATATTATTGGACTTACTGAGGAAACTCGGCAAGGGGAGTAACTACTAGGAAACAAATGCAAAGTAAAAGGAACTACCCAGGCAAGTAAAATAACCAAGCCAAGAAATCATGGACATTATTTAGTGCTATGTTAAATGTAAAAAAAAATCTTGAAAAGCAGTGATGCTATGTATGCTGCTAGGCTAATTTTAGTAACCAATAACACAAAACAAAAAACTATCACCCTCATTCTTAAGTCCACAACAGAAATAATGAACGCATAAAACGGCTTTAATTTTAGTCTCAGAGCCATCAAGTAATTTTACCAGTTTAAACTTTACAAGTTTAAATAGCAAACTTACCTGTTTGCTATTCGGGGTACAAAATAAGGCCAGTTAAACTCTCACTCCTTTATTGTAGGAACCTGGGTAGGTTGGATCTTAACTACTTTCCTTACTTTCTCGGGGTACTTATTTAAATATAATTCCGGAAGGGTATTTGAATGCCCTTTCCATCACCCTAGTGCCAGAAAACCAGAAAATTCTGTTGAAGTGAAATACTTAGACTATTCTGAAATCCCTGTTTTGACTAATAGTTTACTTTTAAAATAGAACAGTTTGGTACCAACAAGTACCAAATAATTTTATTTATGCATATAACTTATCTTTCCCATTTACCAGTGCTTTCATCAAGAGAAAAACAAGCAGATAATAATCCAGGAGTTCCCTATGCTATCACAATTGCTCAGATACAACTTCAAGGAAATTTTCCAGTTAATTCCCACCTGGTACTCCACTCCCCAACCACTTGCCATACGGCAGTTCTAATCTATGTTGTCAATAATGGTGACCCTGGGCCCTAAAAATAATGAAAAAGAAGACCCATTAGTATTTAGAGTGGAGTTAGCATGTAGAGTGGAAACTAACCAAAGTTGTATCCCTCTCCATATGAATTAACTACTGGATAAATCACCAGCTCATTTCCAGGCGTTCAGCCACATGACAGGAGGAGTTTACAATGGGTTTGGGCTGGAATACGACAATCAAACTTACATATATGGGGGAAATTACACTGAAAACACACACACACCACACTCAATACACAATACACAATACACTTTACTGTAAAGGGCCCTAGAGATCTATGAGAGGAAA